GTCAAATCTTCCAGTGGCCCTCCAGACCTCACCAATTTTCGAGTTATTTTCTTTCTAAAAATTTTTTTAGCTTTTTCAAAGCGAGCACTAATACACAGACCTAAAAAGCATTGGTAATTTTTAGTGTTTTTGCGCTGATACTAGCAGTTTTTTTTGTTCCGACTTGTAAAAAAACTGAAGAAAATAAAACGCGCGATTTTTTTCATTATTTCAGACCGATTTTACAAACTATGACAGCGTAAGGGCGTTGACTTGGAAAACTTGGATTGCCAGGCGGGTAAGTTTGCGCCAAACTGAAATGCGGATAGCATCGCTGCATGAGTGTTGCTTTCATATTTTCAATACGCAAAGATTCTTTGCTGGCAAGTTATCCGCAATCAAAATTGTTTCACTATGAATTGAGGCCAACTAGAATAGGTCATTTTAATTCTTCTCAAAAGATAGCACCTGTGTGTGATATTGCCAGTACACAAACTGAATTTTTTTTGAAAAATCTTAGAGTCAGTTGGAAGCAAAAAATTTTTGTAGCAATCGAAGTTTAAGGGGCAGTTAAGGTGCAGTCGAAAAATTCAGGGCTTTGTTTTGATATACGAGCAGTCGTGTTTTGATATATGCTGGTTTATCAAAACAACAAATTACTACCAGAAGTTTTATAATACTACAATAAAAAGCATTTGCCAAATAAAAAACAAAGTGATGTATCTGCTTGCTAAGTGCTTGATAAAGAAGCAATTTTGACGAAAAACCTACTTCAACCAATTTGGATCAATTTCTTCTATGAAGGATTAAATCTCTGCTCACGCTGCGCCTGAATCATTCCAAATTGGGAATAGTGGCAACCCACATAATTTTACCAGAAAAAGATCACAGCCGAAGTGTAATTATAAGTTTGAGCTCAGGACAACAATGTCTTTATTCAAAATGGCTAGATAAAAAATCGAAGTTTGTCTGCAGAACATGAAACCACCTAGAGCACAAATAAACGGGATTTTTTTTCAAAAGTCGGAACAATAAAAATTACAAGCATCCAGTTAAAATGAATAAAAGTTAGTTTGAAAATTAGACAAAGCGAGTTTGCCGCAAGTTAGTCTGGAAATTGTTTATGTTCAAAGTTTATTATCTTATGGGTGACCACGCTATGATGATTTTACGGTTTATGGAGCAGTAATGCCATTAAAAAATTAAATGTAATAAAACAAATTGAAAATTTTTTCTTTCTAAAATTTGAAGGTTTTTACATTAAAATCAAACCCCCCCCCCCCCCCACACACACTCAATAATAAAAACAAAAGAATATATTTCGCTCCTTGTAACAAATCAGTTATGGCAAATGAGCGTCTTTCAACCAATTTGGAATGATTTCTAAGGCGGATTAAATCTCCGCTTACGTGTTAACAGCGCGAACAATATCGCGCGTTAATTGTCCCTAATTGGCCAAAATGGCGATATTTAAACTACCATAATTTTGAGAAAAACAATCACAGATGAAAATAAATTCAAAATTAAGCTCGGGACAACCATACCTTTTGAATGATATAAGCATTTTCCATCAAAATGGCTAGTTAAAAAGTCAAAACTTGTCTGAAGAAAACAAACCCACCCGAGCACAAATATTCCGTTACTTTCGCATCGGAAAAATAATCAGCATAAAGCAAAGTCTTAAACAGACCAAATAGCATGCCTCAATTCAGTTTTGTTTTGAACAATTTATAACGCTGATTAATCCCAAAATGGAAAATTCGGCAATCATTGAACCGCCATAACTTCAAAAAAAAAATTCACATTTGATATATATTTGAGTTTGAGCTCAGGAAAACCATACTTTTTGGACAACAATCATTCAAAAAAATTCGCCGAAAAAGGCTTATTAAAAAAATGAAAATTGTCTGGGAAAAAACTATCCCGAGCACAAACGATCCGTCCTTTTCTAAGAAAATTGCCAATCATCAACTTCGTGGGAGCTGGGATATTTGAAAATTTGAGTAAAATATCTTTTTATTTCAAAAAATACTTCCATTAACATAAGACGGACAAAACGGTAATGTTCAGGGCGTTTCTTTAAATGAGCAATGTTGAAAATATTAAGAGAAAAACTCCAAAATATTTACTACAGAAGCAATGTTTTGCTGTTGCACATTTAGTGGAATGTAAAACACAATAACTTGTTTTTAATAATTTAGTTTTTAGTTGGAATTGATTTCAATGAAATAGAAACGCTGAGTTTTTCTTTAGATTCAGACGAAATATTCTTGTTTCGCGAGGCTAATAGGAGCTCTGGTAGCAAGCGGCTCTGGTAGACCTGAAGCTGGAGGCAGGGTGAGCTCGTTCTCACACGCTATCATTACCATGGCAGGGGTCAAACACTGTATCAGACATTCTGCAAGTAAACGCCTAACCTGCATTCGGCGCTGTAAATTCTTATGCTCTGTAAATTCTGCTGAAAACTGTTTTAAATTCGGTCTGATCAAACGCCGCGTGCTAAAGTTGCAAATTGTCGTAGTAAATTAGATTTACCGATTTGCAACCTTCCGAATTAATGTGAGATGCGAGTAAGCGCCTGAAATCAGAAATCAACTTTGTTTTCAATATTTTCAATACCTTTAATGAAAAATTGGCGTTATTTGTTAGAAAAAATGAACGCATTACTGTATTCGTTAGTGTTCAGCAGCAATTTTTTGTTCAAGATGGCTTTTCACATTGAAGCATAGAACACAAGTTTTTGTTTTCTGTTTTTTCATATGTTATTCATGGCTATATAAAAACAATGACCGGTATAGTTTTCGAGAACTAGTGAGCTTTAAACTGATACAAAGTTAAAAGAATCTTGCAAATATTTTATAATAATAAATATGATTCTCATTTTGAAAAAATGGTTTCACTTAATAGCGATTATTGCATTATTGGTCCTCGTTGCGAGTATTCTCTTAGCAACAAACCACCAAAACGAACTTGACCTACAGCCTCATTCATTTTCCCTCCCTACAGAACGGTTACAGTTAGCCCAGCCGAAGTCAGTTTGTGAAGGGAGTTGGGACTCGACTAACAACGTGTGGATCATAGAAACTCAGAGAAGGGACTCGATTGCCCCCATTGACCAGTGTACATTGGAGAGCTACGCCAGTAAAATGCCAGATGTTTGCATTAGGTACGTAAAGTAGAGTACAAAACGGATGCATCGCTAACTATACAGCCTGTAGTACAAAGAAATTAATTAATTCACATAGGCCCGATTTTTCTGCATTCTTTTTTCTGCATTCTAAAAGAGAACTTTAAAAAAATCAAAAATTTTCTGGCGCTTATTTGAAAGTCTTATAGTAAGACTTTTGGAGCTACTTAAAAATCATCTTTGCTATTTATTGCTCCGACCAGCGAACGTGATCGAAGTTAAATCAGTTGAAACTATTTCAGTCGTAGTTCGGACTGCAATAAAACATTTCATTTTTTTTCTCAGTTTCGAGAATAACAGGTCAGATTTTTGTTGACTTTTAGGTCTTTTTAGTAAAAAAACGAAGAATGATAAGTAGTGTTGAGTGAAATTTATATCTGGCAGATTTTGGTAGTATAGAGACTGAAGCTTACGTTAATTAAGCTGTTCAGTTTGAGAATTGTGAACCTATTAATCTTCAAAACTTTCAAAAGGAAGTATTGCGAAGATGGTCTTCCTAAAACACTACAATGAACTTTTTATCAAAAGTGAGCACCAAAAATCCAGAAAATGTGTAGCTGTTTGCTCGTTTTAAAAATTAAGACCCGATAGGCCAAAAATGATGTAGAAAAAACTGGATCACATGTCTTAAAAAAATTCAATCACTTTGGCGTCAACAGGTATTTTGATAGTCTTTTACTTTTTACGACATCCAATTTATCCTGTTTCACTATTAGCGCGTTGTTGTGCAAATAGCGCAGACGGTTGCGAACAGTAGTTTTGGACTTTGAAAAAAAAAACAAGAAATTCTAATCAACTTTGTATCAATCAAACTGTTTTGGACTTTGAAAAAAAAACAAGAAATTCTAATCAACTTTGTATCAATCAAACTATTCAAGCTTGTGTAACTTTATGTGTGGGCGAAACGAGGGAATAAAAGTAAACTTAAAAAATTAAAAAAGTAAGATTTAAAAATTCTTTCCTATTTTAAGATTGAAGCAATTTTTAGGTAGGTAATTACTCTCATCTTTGAGCCTTATGCTACACTACTGTTTATTTGATCGCTTTTAATTCTTTTGTTATTGTTCGCAACTAAGAAAAGTTTTGGTAAAAAATGAAACAAAAAAAAACAAAAAAGGTCCTTAAGCATTTTTTAAAACGACTTTCTAAATGTTGACGGAATCACGATTGAAAAAACTTTCACGCGACTGAGTCTGAGAAACTTTCTTCACGCAAGACTTCGTGTGGAAAAAGCTTAAGGAGAAACTCTGAAACAAACAGAATACTAAACTTTCTCATTTTGTGATAAATACAACATGTATACTGGGCTTTTGTGCTAGTATCACTGAATGTAGCAAAATGGTATTCGTAAGTACAAATATACAAGCCACGCCATATTAAGTACAAAGTGATAAATTTTGCTCCTATTAACAAATCAATTATGGCAAATAAGCTTCTTTCAACCAATTTGGAACGATTTTTAAGACGGATCAAATCTCCGCTTAACCGTTAATAGCGGAAAATATATCGCGCATTAATTTTCCAAAATTGAACAAAATGGCAATTTTTAAACGCCCATAACTTTATAAAAAATGATCACAGGTAAAATATTTTTCAAATTTAAGCTCAAGACAACAATAGCTTTCGAATGATATTTTAAAAAATTGCTTCAAAACTGGCTAGTTAAAAAGTCGAAATTTGTCTGAAGAAAAAAAACCACCCCGAGCACAAATATTCCGTTACTTTCGTTACGAAAGTCGGAACAAAAAGGTACAACTGGTCAGTTACTATGATTTAAAAATTCAAAAGTATGTCTCAACGAGCCTTACGCGATTTAATTTGCAAAATAAACAGATTAACACTTTGTGAAATTAGAGAACTTTTTGAAATCTATTTTTTCCAATCCGAACAACGACAGAAATAGCTATACTTTGATACCGCACTTGAACATATAACAATTGATCTCTATAGTTCATGTACTATCGTACTATCTATTATTACTGCCTAAAATAGTGCCAAAAATGGTCTAAACAAAAAATTTATAGTGACAGACTGTTTGCCAACATAAGTACTTCTGAGATCAATCAATCTTTATCAGGGGTAGTTCAAAGACTTTCTTGAAAGGGGGAGCGGTTTTTTTTTAAATCGAAAGATCGTGTCAATTTTTTTAGGTCGATTAAAGACACTTTCAGAACACTTTAAAAACCCTATTTTGGGAAAACGTTCTGTATAATAGCATTGAATATACATTTAGTCCGCAGTCATTTTTTAGATTGCTTCATCTTGACAGTAAAAGCAGTTTGGAGAAAATCAAAAGTGATTTAAGTCGAGTTTTAGCACCGAATTTCCAAAACATCGAAATTGTTCAAATGGATGTCGAGGATCTTTTCAAAGACACACCTGTGATTAACTTGATCCCCATGATTAACTCAGCGCACTTCAAGTTTGTTCATATGAGTGATGTCGCCAGATTAGCTGTTATTTACAAATTTGGAGGAATTTACTCAGACGCCGATGTAATTTTGCGTCGAAAGCCTGATTTTGGAGCAAAATTTTATACACAGAGCGGGGCTTCTTCGTTGCTTATCAACGCTGCTTTCGCTTCCCCGAAACACGATCACGTGATCTACCAAACACTTGTGTCCTTGAATGCCACTTACAGTCCAAAGGGATACACAGTTATGTATGAGCACGAGAAAGTGACTAAGCGACACTGCATTTCGTCGTGTGGAACGAAAAAGGAGTTCAATCAAAATAAAACCAGCTTCATGTGCTGCGACTTAAAAATAGTTGGTAAGTTTTCAAAGGTATATAAACTGCATTTGAAATTTATTGAACAATAAAAACTTATTCAGTACCGAAATTGTTGACGAATAAAACTTCAAATTTAAAATGCGTTTTTCTCAAATTGGGTTGTTTTTAGACAAAAATTGATGACCAATATTGTTTAAAATTTCAACAGAATTAATATAGTTTTTGGTTTTTTTAGTCAATCAAAAATTACTCCAAACCTATTTACTGACAAAACCAGGGGCGGATCTAGGTTTTTCAAAAAAAGCCAAACATGATCGTTTTGTGAGGTAAATGGTTGGGCCCGAATGTTGCAAGACACATTGCTCCATATTTTTCCTATTAAAAGTTTAAGCCAGATTAGTCTTCATCATTTTTTGTCTAAAATTAAGCCAATTTGAGAAAAAAGTGATTTAATTTTCAAGTTTAATTAGTTTTGTCCGGATAATTTTAATCAGCACTGTAGTCAGGGGCGGGTTAAGGGGTGGGGAAGCAGTGGGGCGGACGCCTTCTTTCCCCCTTAGGGATTCGACCCCCTGCTGACCCAAAGGGTCTCCCTTTGTACTATTTTGAGATATCCATTTTTGGCTGACAGACACTAAAATATTCTAAAGGCGCCTTCGGCGTCTATATTTAATAATTTTGATGGGGAAGCGCTCACCGAAAAAACACAATTTTTGGCCTGTTTTTTCAAAGTTTTGCCTGCGGCGAAGAAAATTTGGCCGAAAAAGTCTTTTTAGTGCTTTGGGGAGCTCGGAAAATCAATTTGATCGACCTTAAAAAAAGGTGGTGGACAACATTTTTTTGATAATCCCCCCCTCCCCCCCCCCCCCCGTTCGAGAAAATTCTAGATCCGCCCCTGACTATAGTCTATCCACTTAACTTTTTTGAATTTTAGCTAGCGGTGAAGGTCAGTGCGGAAGAAACTGGCCGATTGAAGTTTCAGAAAAGCAAAACTGTACATTCTACCATTATTCTCGCTCATACAACTGTCTACACAAAGAGCGAAAGATAGAGTACAATTTTGACCTGCTATCTTCAAAAGATGATCTGGCCAAAGTAGCCAGAGAAAACTGTCCACTAGTCGTGCAGACCTTCCGATCCTTCAATATTACATGCAATAAGTGAAAAAAAAAACATTTAAACTCAATTTAATTTAAAAATTCAGTTTTCGCAAAGTAAAGCAAGATTCTCACCAAACCGAACAAAATGAGTTTAAACGATGCAAGATATGTTTTATATCTAAGTTGAACTCCACCAGAATCATAAGCCTCGTTACAAAATTGGCATAAAAAAATTTACAGAAGAAATAGGTTCAAATGAAGCTACTTGCAACTCTGGCTGGGATGAGTCGCAGGCAGTAGCGGATTTAGGGGGGGGGGGCGGAGGTCAATTTAGGGTCTGTATAGTAGTTTGGGAGAGCTCGGAAAATCAATTTGGTCGACCTAAAAAAAAGGTCGACAAAATTTTCAATTTTTTTTGAAATCCGCCCCCCTCGAGAAATTCCTAGATCCGCGCCTGGTCACAGGCATTCGCCTTTACAACACCGACGCTAATATATTGAAATTGTCTCGGAAAAATACACATATTGTTCCCAAATTAAAACAAGGATAGCCGGTTACTGTTCAAATGGCACAGAATGTTCCGACCAGTCTTTAAAAAATACAATTAAGTTTTTCATGTAATTATTGTTTTGTTTTCGGCGTGGTGTGATAAAAGGAGCTGAGCAGAAACCTGTAAATTAAGTATATTTGACAGTCATAGTAAAAAACAGCAAATTGAAAATAATTTTTGTAGAAAAGTGACTAGAAAAACAAAACAAAGTTTAAAAAAAATTAGAAAATATTCTTTTTTTGCTTTTTTTAATTTTTGATGTTTTTGATTCCAAGAAGGAGTACAAGTAAGATAGTTGGGCCCTAACATTTAGGTGGCTCCCTGAAGGATTTTTTTGTGCTTAAAATGTTCGGAAACATGTTTAGAATTTGTTTGCTTCTGTTTTTGAATTTTTCTCAAAAATTGCGGTACCCACCTTTCATACTTACTTTTTCAGGGACCCAACTATCAAACTTGTACCCAAAAAGGCGCTATAATACTGAAAAAATGTAATGTTACTCAAGTAAAATTAGTTTTTTACGTTTTAAATTGAGCTATTGTAAGCTTTTAAGCAACTAAAATAAGCTATAGTAAAAATTTCAAACCAATTTTGAGAAATTTTAAATGTGGCTCGAATCACTACTGATAGGGGTTTTTAATATGACTGCCACTCAACCTGGTCCGCTCAACCCGGTCCACTCAACCCAGAAAAATAACCAAAAAAAAATAATTGCATGTAGTTCTTAAACAGGGGCACAACAGCGGTTCGCCGTGATGAGCTGTACAACTCTTGTGTTGGTCCTTTCGCCCGTGGATAAATGATCTTAATTAATGATGATTTGTGGTACTTGATTTTGCGTAAAAAACAAAAAGAAAAAAAAACTAAGACACACCCAAATACAAAATTTCTGCCCAGTTTCAATGGTCAGAACAAAAATTGATACGAGCGATTCAATCAACTACTGTAAATTTTCCGGAACACCGGTTGTCAAATTTGTTCGTAGACTCAAATGCCTAAAACAAGCTAGACTCTGCTACCGAATTTGTTTCGATGCCCAATTTCTCCAATGCTTAATAGTGCGTGTATTAAGAAATAGATTCAAGTGAATTGCAACTGGCTAGGATGAGTCACAGGCATTTGTCTTAACAACGCCGACGCTAATATAATGAAATTGTCATGGCAAAATACACATGTTGTTACCGATTTAAAACACATTTGTTTTTCTCCAAGAAAGTGTTAAAAAGATACAAAAACAATTGAAAAACTTTTTTTTTTCTGTTTTTTTTCCAGTTTTTTTAAATTATCTTTTTAGTAATGCAAGAGAGAGTGATGTAGTTACTGAACCGTATAAAACAGTTATGAACAGATAAAAACAAAAACCTTCAAACTTCTGAACATTTTTCTTTAGATAATTTCTTTGAATTAAAAAAATGCTCCTCAAATTTTACGAAACAATTGGAACAATTATTCAGCAAGCAAAGATGCATGAACGTTGCCTCATAGCTAAGAGTTTGCATCTCTATTTCAAGATAAATGCGATTAATTGTTCGTTTAAACTTACCAGGCATTATGTTCAAATGTGTGGCGTGACGATTCTAAGACAATAACTTTTTGTTCCGACTTTCGATACGAAAGTAACGGAAAATTTGTGCTCGGGGTGGGTTTTTTTTTCTTCAGACAAATTTCGACTTTTTAACTAGCCGTATTTGACGGAATTTTTTTATATCATTCGAAAGCTATTGTTGTCCTGAGCTTCAATTTGAAACGATATTTTACCTGTGATCATTTTTCGTAAAGTTATGGGGGTTTAAAGATTGCCATTTTGGCCAATTTGGGACAATTAACGCGCGATAAATTTCGCGCTATTAACGCGTAAGCAGTGATTTAATCCGTCTTAGAAATCGTTCCAAATTGGTTGAAAGAAGCTTATTTGCCATAATTGGTTTGTTACAAGGAGCAAAATCTATACTTTTGTACTTTATATGGCGTGTGGGGTGATGATTTTCATTAAAAAATATCACTTTTAGAAAAACAAATTTCCTGCTCCATAAACCTTAAAAGACAGTCGGAACATTCAGGGCTTCGCCCTGATACGAGGAGTCTTGTTTATCCTTTGGCTTACAACATTTCTATCCGTTTGGCAGTTTTTGCGGCCTCATAATAAATTTAAGCTTCGTTCATTTTTGTCGCAATTGTAAAATTGGATTCTGAAGGCAAACTTCATCAATTGTCCCCAAACTATAACATCTTCTTGCTAAAAGATGATACCACAAACCAAACTGGCGTTATGTAATTATTAGTAATTTGTTAAAAAGATACAAAAACAATTGAAAAAAACATTTTTTTCTGTTTTTTTTCCAAAAACACATTTGTGTTTTCTCCAAGAAAGTTTTTAAAATATTAAAACAATTGAAAAACTTTTTTTTTCTGTTTTTTTTTTCCAGTTTTCTTAAATTATCTTTTTAGTAATGCAAGAGAGAGTGATGTAGTTACTGAACCGTATAAAACAGTTATGAACAGATAAAAACAAAAACCTTCAAATTTCTGAACATTTTTCTTTAGATAATTTCTTTAGGTAATTTATCTGTTTTAGTGCAGCAGTTGCGTTTTATCAACTCGATCAAAAATTTAATTTGTGTTAGTGTTTATATTCTCGAAAATTATGTTGGACAGTTTGTGAATGCGTATATGTCTGAAATATGAGAGGGTCCTGCCATTCTGTTATTAGTTATCAGCCGCCATTTTCGCAAGCCCTCGAAATTTTTTAACAAACAGGGCTGCTCGCAGCATAACTTAGCCCTGAACAATCTGACTATTTTTTCAGGTATCTGCCGTAGTTTGTTCCTACAAACTTAGAAAAATATCAAAATACAAACTTGAAATATTTTAGAGTTGTTTAGTTTCTGTAGTTAAATCAACCCCAGCCAATGGAAGTGAAATATTTCGCATCTAGTCACAAATTTTAAGACCAACAAGGTTGTCCTAAATCAAACTGAAATGGTTTAATTTGCCAAACACGCTGCATAACTTGTTAACAAAAACCTGGAAAACAGCTCATATAAATTAACCCATTGTTTTTAGTATTGACATCCAGGTATAAATTTTTTTCTGATGCTATGGAAAAAAATGTCTCTCAAAAATTGTTACTTAAACACGAAGCCAATTGCTCTGATTGAACCAATACTAACTCATAAATTTTCTATCACTAGAAAACCCTCATTATCGCCTCCTCCTAGATACCCTCATAATCGCCGCCTCCTAGACACCCTCATAATCGCCGCCTCTTAGCTAAAAATGAGCATCTTTATTTCGAGATAGATACGATTGTTCGTTTAAAGCTACGCGGCATTTTGTTCAAAATATAAATTGGTCTGATTGAACAAATACTAACTCATAAATTTTCTTTCACTTGTTTCAAAAGTCGAAATAATAATATTTACCGATCATGTAGGAAATGAGGACACCCCTCATGCCAGAATGGCCGAATGCCCCAAAATTATGTTAGCCAATCAGAGTTTTTTATTCAAAAATCCGACTAAATTAATCTGATTAAGCTGAAAATTAGTCAGTTTTGGATACTTTGAAAGACGCTGACTGGTTGAGACTTTTTGCGCTTTTAGTGTTTCTGGTTTTTTAAGAGTGAGTCACTCTTGCACGCTGGACCAAAGGTCAAAAAATGATGTTGACAAATCAAAGCTCATTATTCAAACATTCAAAAGAAATAAGCTATAAATCAGTCAGTCTTGGAAAATTTGAAGGCTTTGATTGGTTGATGATTTTTGCGTTTTCGGTTCTTTGCACTTGACAATAGCCTTTGTGTTATTGTTGTCTTGCCAAGTATTTCAGCAAATAATTCAATTTAGTTCCACGAAATTTTGGGAAATTAGTTGGTGGTGTTCCTTCTGAAGAAGGGACCGAATATTAAAAATCCATTTTCACTTATTTACAGCCAATCAGAATTAAGTATTCAACAATTTCAGAGAAATCGACAAAACCTCAAGGAAAGCAACTAAATCCGGGCAATTAAAATTTATATCGACCGATTAGAAAATTAGCAGATGCGCGAGTTTTCAAATTTAAGAAATCGACGTCGGGTGCTGCATTTGCAAGTAAAATCAGTCCAATTTTATACAATAAAAAAAAAAGATTTTATTTTTTGTAATTTAAGTGGGGGGGTATAATAAAAAAAAATCTGAACATTTAAGAATTCTGATTGATTGAAAGTTTTCTCTAAGTCATTCACTCCATCATGAGAATACCCCACAAATTAGTCAACTAAGATCAAAGAACAAAGGGAAACAGTGGAATTAGTTTTTGATTGAAGACTAGTCTGCCTATATTTTGAGATAATTTAAACCAATCAGAGTACTGCAAATCTTTTAAGTCTTCTGTGGGTTTTTTTGCTGTCTTTATTTCCCGGTAAGTTGTCTACCGTCCTCGGGACTAATAATGAGATCAACTACCGTTCAAAGCTTAAACAAATTTCAAAAATTAAAAAAATATAGTTAGGTTATGGTGTAAATACTTGATTATAATTGTTTAATTTTATATTTAACTTAGTTATCGAAATAGCCGTGTTTTTTTTGCACAGAAACTGGCTTTTCTTGTTTTTCTTCTTTTTTTCCTAAAAACAAATTTTATAAAAAAAACTCAATATGATTTTGCCGTGTCTGAAAAGTTTTTTTTTGTATTGTCAGTAAATTGATGGTGAATGCGATTGATTGTTCGTTTAAACTTACAAGGCATTATGTTCAAATGTGTGGCGTGACGATTCTAAGACAATAACTTTTTGTTCCGACTTTCGATACGAAAGTAACGGAAAATTTGTGCTCGGGGTGGGTTTTTTTTTCTTCAGACAAATTTCGACTTTTTAACTAGCCGTATTTGACGGAATTTTTTTATATCATTCGAAAGCTATTGTTGTCCTGAGCTTGAATCTGAAACGATATTTTACCTGTGATCATTTTTCGTAAAGTTATGGGGGTTTAAAGATTGCCATTTTGGCCAATTTGGGACAATTAACGCGCGATAAATTTCGCGCTATTAACGCGTAAGCAGTGATTTAATCCGTCTTAGAAATCGTTCCAAATTGGTTGAAAGAAGCTTATTTGCCATAATTGGTTTGTTACAAGGAGCAAAATCTATACTTTTGTACTTTATATGGCGTGTGGGGTGATGATTTTCATTAAAAAATATCACATTTTAGAAAAACAAATTTCCTTTGTTTTATTTCATTGAATTTTTTAATGTTATTACTGCTCCATAAACCTTAAAAGGCAGTCGGAACAATCAGGGCTTCGCCCTGATACGAGCAGTCTTGTTGTTCCGACATTCGATACGAAAGTAACGGAATATTTGTGCTCGGGGAGGGTTTTTTTTTCGTCAGACAAATTTCGACTTTTTAACTAGCCAATTTTGACGGAATTTTTTTTATCATTCAAAAGATATTGTTGTCCTGAGCTTAAATTTGAAAAGATATTTCACCTGTGATCATTTTTCGTAAAGTTATGAGGGTTTAAAGATTGCCATTTTGGCCATTTTGACCAATTTGGGACAATTAACGCGCGATATAATTCGCGCTATTAACGCGTAAGCGGAGAGTTAATCCGTCTTAGAAATCGTTCCAAATTGGTTCAAGGAAGCTTATATGCCATAATTGATTTGTTAATAGGCGCAAAATCTATCACTTTGTACTTAATATGACGTGTGGGGGGATGTTTTTACATAAAATCTCAAATTTTTTCAAAAAAAATTTTTATTTTTTTTATTACATTGAAATTTTTCATCTTACTAATGCTCCATAGACCTCAAAAGACAGTCGGAACTTTCAGGGCTTCGCCCTGATACGAGCAGTCTTGTTTATCTTTTGGCTTACAACATTTCTATCCGTTTGGCAGTTTTTGCGGCCTCATAATAAAATTAAGCTTCGTTCATTTTTGTCGCAATTGTAAAATTGGATTCTGAAGGCAAACTTCATCAATTGTCCCCAAACTATAACATCTTCTTGCTAAAAGATGATACCACAAACCAAACTGGCGTTATGTAATTATTAGTAATTTATCTGTTTTAGTGCAGCAGTTGCGTTTTATCAACTCGATCAAAAATTTAATTTGTGTTAGTGTTTATATTCTCGAAAATTATGTTGGACAGTTTGTGAATGCGTAATTGTCTGAAATATGAGAGGGTCCTGCCATTCTGTTATTAGTTATCAGCCGCCATTTTCGCAAGCCCTCGAAATTTTTTAACAAACAAGGCTGCTCGCAGCATAACTTAGCCCTGAACAATCTGACTATTTTTTCAGGTATCTGCCGTAGTTTTTTCCTACAAACTTAGAAAAATATCAAAATACAAACTTGAAATATTTTAGAGTTGTTTAGTTTCTGTAGTTAAATCAACCCCAGCCAATGAAAGTGAATTATTTCGCATCTAGTCACAAATTTTAAGACCAACAAGGTTGTCCTAAATCAAACTGAAATGGTTTAATTTGCCAAACACGCTGCATAACTTGTTAACAAAAACCTGGAAAACAGCTCATATAAATTAACCCATTGTTTTCAGTTTTGACATCCAGGTATAAATTTTTTTCTGATGCTATGGAAAAAAAATGTCTCTCACAAATTGTTACTTAAACACGAAGCCAATTGCTCTGATTGAACCAATACTAACTCATAAATTTTCTATCACTAGAAAACCCTCATTATCGCCGCCTCCTAGACACCCTCATAATCGCCGCCTCTTAGCTAAAAATTAGCATCTTTATTTCAATATAGATGCGATTGTTCGCTTAAAGCTACGCGGCATTTTGTTCAAAATATAAATTGGTCTGATTGAACAAATACTAACTCTTTGCTTTCACTTGTTTCAAAAGTCGAAATAATAATATTTACTGATCATGTAGGAAATGAGGACACTCCTCATGTCAGAATGACCGAATGACCCAAAATTATGTTAGCCAATCAGAGTTTTTATTCAAAAATCCGACTAAATTAATCTGATTGAGCTAAATATCAGTCATTTTTCGATTATTTGAAAGACGCTGACTGGTTGAGACTTTTTGCGCTTTCAGTCCTTCTGGTTTTTAAGAGGGAATCACTCGTGCACGCTGGACCATAGGGCGAAAAATGATGTTGACAAATCAGAGCTCATTGTTCAAACATTCAAAAGAAATAAGCTATAAATCAGTCAGTCTTGAAACATTTGAAGGCTTTGATTGGTTGATGATTTTTGCGCTTTCGATTCTTTGCAATTGACAATAGCCTTTGTGTTATTGCTGTCTTGCCAAGTATTTCAGCAAATATTTCAATTTAGTTCCACGAAATTTTGGGAAATTAGTTGGTGGTGTTCCTCATGAAGAAGGGACCGAATATTAAAAATCCATTTTCACTTATTTACAGCCAATCAGAATTAAGTGTTCAACAATTTCAGAGAAATCAACAAAACCTCAAAGAAAGCAAATAAATCCGGGCGATTAAATTTATATTGACCGATTAGAAAATTAGCAGATGTGTGAGTTTTCAAATTTAAGAAATCGACGTCGGGTAATGGAAAAAACTTGTGACCGATTGATAAAAATGAAAAATATAACAAAAGTTTAGTGTATATCTGCACGAATTGTACAAAAAAACTTTGCTCTGCTGCTATAATTGATTTTCAGTTAATAAAGACTTCAGTTATGAGCAAAAGTCATGTTGCCAATAAGAACATTGGGTGTTTTCAATTATATCCTCCTCTGTTATACCCCGCGATAAGTTCTCGGGATATCAGCGCTGCATTTGCAAGTAAAATCAGTCCAATTTTATACAATAAAAAAACATTTCGTTGTTTATCATTTAAATGGGGGGGGGGGGGGGGGTATAAAAACTCAATATGATTTTGCCGTGTCTGAAAAGTTTTTTTGTATTTTCAGTAAATTGATGGTGAAATCAAATTTTTCGATCAACTAGGTGCGAGATTTTATAAACACAAATAACGCTAAGGTATGATTTTCTCGGTAACGGTTTTCCCCGTGTAGTTATTTCTTTTGCTGTATACTTTTTCATAACAAATCATTGATTTGTTTCACCAGCTTTTCAAAGCTGGCGACATATTCCTTCATATCTGCTAAGTAATCTCCGCTTTCTGAGAAATCAAAACACGGAAAATTGGAGATGCCACTCGCCACGCGTTCTCCGGGCTGATAACCTCTCTGAAAAATTATTGGAATCAACTGTTTCTTGGAATCAACCGCATAGTTAAACTCGATTTGGCAATTTTCACTGACTTCATATTCTTTGGACAAAATTGGGAGAACAATGTTTGAGTTTCGAACTTCATTTTCCATTGCTTCTCGAATTGTCTGTCCCGTTTGTTCTTTGTTGATCAATACGTCATATCCCATGTTTTGTAAATCGATGGATAGTTTGTGCACCAGTTTTTGGTCCGAGGAGTTATAACTAATAGCAATCAATGCATTAGTATTATTACGGCCAGAAGAGCATTCAGCCTGTGATTTTTGCTCCTTAGATGCCTTTTTTGAATATAATTTGACCCCTGTGAAAGGAATGTGCGTAAAAATTGCCGAGTTGTTATCACGAACAACTTTGACGTCGTGATTATTATGGAACGAATCAGACAACACGTTCAGCTTTTGCTCGTTTTCCTCGATTGCGAGAATTCTGCTAAGTAAGCGTTCGGCGTTTTCCCAGGGTGCTGACTGTTTTGTAATTTTCAAACTATTAAGAACTAAATTTTCCAGATATTTTTCATCGTCCACACTGTTGAGGATTTCACAAGCTTCCTTCTCAGTTCTAGGACAAATCGGCGGAACATTTTGATTTTGCAAGAAGTTTAACGTTTTTAAACGCGACAATAACTTCGTTGGGTACCAATTAAATCCATGTTTTTCCAACTCCATATCTGGAGCAAATTTCGACCAGCGGCCATATGACGGATCCCTGTTGAAAGCGTTCCACAGAGGTTCAAACTCGGCCTTGGAAGCGTTATTTAGCTTCAGCTCTAGCAACTCTTTCACTTTTCTCCGCGTTTTAGCTATAGTGAATTTTCTTGTTGGGTCGTTCCGCTTTGAAAAGCGTAATTGAGAAAAGTAGCTTTGGTAGCTGCTTGACAAGCTCGCGCCCCTCGTTGAAAAGAAGGAGTTTTTTGGAGGCCAGTTGTAGAAAAGGCAATCGAAAGTTTCTTTATAGTCGTCTTCATCTTCATCCTCGTCTTCGCCATTTTTATCCAGATTATTTTCATCGAAATTTGGTGTAGATGCTTTAACATTGGGTTCATCAGTTGGATTCTGGCTTCGGTCTGCCGACTTTTCCTAAATCATGAGCATCAAATTACACAATATTTTACTGAATCTTTATCAAAAGATTTGGAAAAAGATCAAAAAATCAAGTTGTCTTCTGAGAAATCGAATTAAAAAAATATAGCCGGTTACTGTGCAAGTAGCACTCAATATTCCATATTTAAAAAAACTACAAAGAAGTATAAATTTTTTTCAAATTAGTGTAGTTTTTTCAGCGTGTTATCATAAAAGGATCTGACGTAGAACTAGAATTTAGGCATATTCGACAGCCAAATTGATGTGAGAAAATTAGACAAGAGTTTTGTAGAAAATTACCAGCCAAAATAATTATAAGAAATCAAAAAAAAGTTAAAAAATTCCAAAAAAATTTCAATTTTTTTTGCAGAAAATTTAAAAAAATGTTGATTTCCAAAACGGGGAATCAAATTTTTTTTTATTTTGTTCGAATTACGACTGAAAAGGCTTCAATATGGTATATCACTCGACCCACTCCGATGATGATCTGTGGTACTTGACTTTGCGTGGAAAACAAAAAAAAAGAAAAGAAGGATAGCCGATTACTGTGCAAATAGCACAGAATTTTCCAAAAATAGTCTTAAAAATAAAAAAATTGTTTTTTTTTTCAAATTATTGTCGTTTTTTTTCTGTTTGGTGTGAAAGTAAGATCTAAAAGAAACAACAGAAATTAGGTATATTTGACGGTCATAGTCAACTAGGCGAAATGGAAAACGGTTTCTGCAGAAAATTGACTAGAAAAACAAAACAAATATCGTATAAAAATTTAATTTTTGAATTTTTTCATTCCCAAAATGGCTCAAAATTTACAAAACCTAGGCTATAAGCTAGCGTAAACTTCCAAGCAAAATTTGCTTCAGTAAAATTAAGTTTTCACGGCTTAAATTAAGCTTAAATAAGCTATTGTAACCCTGCAAACCGTACTTTGACAAACTGTATTAATTCAAAATTAGACTAAAAACCAAGAATTTCAAACACATTTTTTTAGACCATGAGAAATAGTTTCAAAATTGTTCAATGTGGTTCGAATCACAACTGAAAAGACGTTAAAATGATATATCACTCGACCCATTCCGATGATTATTTGTGGTACGTGATTTTACGTGGAAAACAAAAAAAAACTAAAACACATCCGAATACGTAGTTCCTACCCATTATTCAAATGGTTGGAACAACAAGAATAGCAAGATGTTGTACGAGTAGCACAGAAACTTCCCCTGTCACCATAATTTTTTATGGTTTTTTTCTGTCTTCATTTTAAGGAAGCTCAGAATCAGAGCTGTCCCAGACTTGTTTGACAATAAGATTATTTGGAGTTCAGATGTCATCAGTCAATTGTCATTTGAAAGATGACAATTTTTTAGGCAAAAATGCCTCCAACCATTTTTTTTATACGGGTGAAAAATCATTTAAAAACTTTTCAGACTTAAATACCCCAACTTCTGACACATCAGAAGCATTTGAAATTGAGGAGCTGCGAGACGAAAACCAAGAGTCTCTCCTCGTCTTGTTTTTCGCTTTTTCTTTGCTACGATCCAGTTCAACTCGACTTTGGTCCGATGTTTCTCCTGACGGTTCGTAAGTTTCGTGACTCCAGGTTCGAGGCTCCGACTCGTCTCTTGAATTTCTAGGTCTCGTCTCTCGCAGGTTTTCAAAGCCCTTATTTAAATTTCCTCTCGAGAGCTCATACGGGTCATTATATTTGCGCCACTCACTCCACTTGTCAATCCAAAGCTGCGCAGGATATTCTGTCGATGCAAATTCGGCTCCATTCGTTTCAAGTGTTGGGAAAGCGGACTCATTAGAAATTGTTCTGCGCAGTGAGCTTGACTTGCAGACAAATCCTTGAAGATCATCGATCAATTTCTTTTCATCGGCAGTGAATGGTTGACAGAATCTGAAAAAAAAATAAAGCCGATTCCTGTGGATCTCGCGCATAATTGTCTGACCGCAGTTGATCAAGGAGGAATCTGCAAAAGGAAGAGAAAAATCGAGAGAAATTTCTCTATCAAATGTTCAATAGTTTTTACAATACGACTTTTTTAATTTTTTTTTTCATTAATTTTATAAGTTGTTCCACTTTTCTAGCCGGTGAATGGGGGTTCATTTAGATTATAATTTGCTAGAGCGATTTCAATGCCGCTATATTCATTTTTTTAAATGTAGTATTAGATAGCAGAAGATTTATCAAAGTAAAATAGTCTGAAAAAAAAAGAAAAATTGACACAATTTTTTCTCAGGGCGAAAATTCTTTTAATTTGTAAATTCTAATTAGACAAAAAAATTTATGATGATACGGCAGTTGGTACCTATAATTTTTCCTAGACTTGCTTGAGCTTCAAGCTAAAACTTTGTATTAAGTTAACATGGCTTATGACACTCTGAAACTCAGTTTATAATAATAGTTACCATTGAGCCTCTAGAAAGAGCAACATAGCTTCAGCAAAATACTGTCATACAGTTTTGACAGGGCAGCGAAGCGGAGCCTTGAATCACGTGCGATACGGCGCATGCGTAGCATTGCAAGCTAGCTTTTAGAAAAAAATACAGAAATCACTAAGATGACAAAATATATTTCAAAAAAGTTTGACTTCAGAAAAACAGTCGAGAAACACAACCAGCAGCATTGAATAGGCTTTTGGCATAATTTAATCTGCGGCCACAAGACCGACAAAACGTGGATAGACAAAAAGTTGAGCCAAAAAAAGCTATAAGAAACTTCATGAAAGCTCATGTACGCTCAAACAAAAAAGCCCGATTGGGATGCGAAACCCACACCTTCAAGTGAAAAGACAATTGAGCAGTCTCTTGACCATATGGTAAGGAGCCTGGAGTTTGTAGAGTTGCAATAATGAAGCAAATTCATTTTCTTGTTGATTTGTAGAAAAAGTTCAAAAATGCTTTCTGACAAAAAAAATTGATCCCCAATGAAACGATTGGCTCCTTCAATTCAAAAGAAAAAAGATATTTTATCGCTATCTTTTTTGACAAAAACTCAAAGAGTTTGGAAGCAGCAAATTTATGAAGTTTCGGACTAATTTATGCGCTTTGAAGACTCATGTATTATGCGAAACGTTTATAACGATAAGTTGATATGTGGCAATTTATCCCGCACTACTCATTTTTCAATATGATCAGAGACAAGCTATTTGGTGATAAAACTACCTATATGACTCATACAATTGCTCTTGAGTTTTTATACTGGATGCTGGAAAACAAAAAACAAAGGGTTCAAAATTTACAGTTTATTATATTTTTCTCTTTTAAAATTATTGAAACCAATTACAAGGCAGTTAGATTATTCGGGGCTTTGTCCTCCTGATTAACGAGTCGTTTTCCAATCATTATGGTTTTCAATTATTATTCCGGCTGAATGCATAAAAATTCTGAATAAAATATGAAAAAAAAGGTGTTTAGAAACTTAAATTTGATCACTACAACCAATATAATCACAACGTGAAAAAAAAACTATAATTTTTAAAATTCAAACCATCCGGGGAGGGTTAGTGTAAGTACAAATATTGTTTTTTAATCGAAAATCCGTTTACGGCTAACTCTTGTTTATTGTTGTTGCTTAAATTGCGACGAATAAATAAATTAAAGAACTAAAAAGAAAAAAAAAACAGTAACCGTAAAATCTGCAAAATTGTGCGCCTACCCAATGCACAGTTTGGTCTCGTAATGAAAAAAAATGTAATCGAAGCGTAGCAGCGAAAATCGCAGACGGTTCTCTCGAGATCTAGTCAATCTATTATTTACTCTGATTATTAAGAAATCTTCTGAAGTCCGCATTACGGGTTATACAATGATTATTTTTCGAATATGTTGGACGCTCTTGTAGGTTTTGATTTTTTAGGAAAGGGCTCAAAATATCCTGAGTTTTTTTTGCCAGAATTAAAAAACTGTATAAAGACCGTCCAACTCCAACTATTTCACAAAAAGTATCGTCTTAGATTCCTCAAGAACTAGAAATGGTTTCTATATTTAACCCAATTAAAACTAACTTGACAGACGGTGTATGGTAGCGGTACACGTAGAAAACATCTGTTGCATATATCACAAACTGTTCCGACTCTTTTCGTTTGTTCCGAGCATATGACGAGATGTTCCGGGTGAGAAGATTCCCCAAAGTGGCCTCTAGTTTTTCTGCCTGTGTATTGTGAGCTTTGATTATTATGCGGGTTTTCAACTTTTCTAGTTCTAGGAGCTCGTAAACGTCCTGATCCGAAGGAACTGAGATAAGTTTTTGGATAAATTTGTCAACTTCTGGAAAGTTTTTGAATTTTGAAGACGAGCTAGACATCTTTTTTTTAAAAAAAAGTCTGTTAGTTGAGTTAATTGAGGGTAAAATTCAATTTAAAAAAAAATAATTAATACTCTGGTCTTAGCTGTACTAAGAATAAAATGAATTAATCCATGGAAAAACAGAAAAATGATTTATTATTTCTTCTCAAAATAAGCCAAATTTAAACAATTATGAAGTTGACGGTAAGAAAAAGTGTCAATCAACTTAAATGTAATATTTCCTTAAGTCAAACCAACGAATATGGTCAAATAAATGTGAAGTACGAAAACTGAAATGACGCAGAATTTTGAGCTACTGTGAGACCTGAAATTTATTTGTTGTACGTGTGCATACAATGATCGTGTTGTCCCTTTGCCTACGCAAAACACACCAGTTTTCTCTATGCTACTATATACATTCAATTTTCATGGTAATATTTTCTCTGCAGGCAAGCCATTGTTAAGCCATACTATGTATGAAGATAGGCGGTCTGAAAGCAGACAACTTTAACAGAAGACTGGTTCCTAAGCCGACAAAGCTTTGCTGTATTTGCAATTGGAAACAATTGCATGCCAAAAAAGATGGCTGATTCGGCAAGAAATCTATGGATCTACATAACAATAACCCCCTCCCCTTCAATAAAGAGGGTAGTTGTTAATTTAAGTAAACTTGTAAGCAAATAAAGGGCACTATGTTTATATATTCGCAAATAAGTAAGCAGAAGGCTATAATTTGATTGCTAACAAATTTATGATATGATTGCGCATGCATTCAAACTTATTGTTTTCTGGTGGTGGAGCTCAACTTACAGAAAGTACCCTATTTTAGGCAACCCTCAACAAAATACTCATCAAGCTTCTCGATCATAATAAGATCTTCACAACAAAAAGAAAAATGTAAACTTTTTTTTTCTCAGGTCTCAATTTGGTTAATTGTTTTTTGAAACTAACTTATTTACAAAACAACATATTATGTCATGAAAAAATTTTCAAAAAAATTGTTGATTTGAAATGCATACCACTTTGATTTCCCTGTCACGCACCAAAAGTCTATTTTCTGTGATATTTTTGAACGATTTTGAGATTATTATAAAAGCTTTGGTACAATATTTTCCCCATGAAAATTATTTATTTTCTGCAGTAGACAGAAATGGACGTAATGCAGTGCACAGGGGCGGATTTAGAGGGTAGGGGGCTTTTTTGGCCTGTTTTTTCAAAGTTTTGCCTGCGGCACAGAATTTTTGGCAAAAACAGAGTCTTTTTAGTGCTTTGGGAGAGCTCGAAAAATCAATATGGTCGACCTAAAAAAAATCGACAAAATTTTCAAAAATTTTTGATAATCCGCTCCCCCCTCGATAAAATCCTAAATCTGCCCCTGACTGTGCATAAATGGACATGATTTGTTATAAACTTATTCAAATGATGTTTAGATCCTCTAAACTTTCAACAGTTTGGATCTTTTTTGAATATTGAATTTTTTTTGATAGCTTTGATGTCCGTTTGTATAGAATAGTACCGTATTCATTGCTCACGAACCCGAGATATTCGTATTGTTTGCATCCAAGTTTGCTTTTGACCACGAAAAATAACAAGTTTTGCTTTTGATCCTGTTTGTCTTCTAACCGTCTGACATTAACGGTATAAAATCTCAGAACGCGAGAAAATCTTTTTTGTTGTTCAGTGTGGGTTCTTTTTTTGGAATTCTATGGGCATAATCCCTTGCTCGTAGAGCCCCCTTTGGAACTGATTGGTCCTTCTATGATGCTGAAATTGCTTTTTTTTTCTAGTTTCGTCTAGTTCAAGTAGGCTTTATGCGTAGCGGAATTGGAATGCAGACAAACATTAGGATACCGGTTTACCTGTGCCTATGTAGCTAGATTGTCTAAAAGCCGGTCTACCTTGGGCATCTTAATTATGGTTTCTGTAGATGGCTCTATTGATTTGCATTGATTTGCCTAAAGATCATAGCTAGTTTGATTGACTGGGCTTGTTTACTCATGAAGGGGATCGTGTTGATTAATGTGTCGTTCGGATGACTTTGTTTCTATCCAAGAGTTATATCGCTGGTATGTAGATATTCTGCATATACTACAATATCTGTGTCCTGAAAGTTTCGGTCCTGGTATTGTTTAATTTGCCTGACTTGTCCTATAGCTTCCGTATGTTCGAGTGTGAGCACTTATTATGATTTGTTTTTTTGACACTCCATTTTGCCTCTTCGATTTTTGCTTTTAAATCTTTTAAACGTGTAGTTGAATTTTAAATCCTTTCTGCCTTGGGATTGAATAATCAAATGCTTGATCTGCAATTTGTGTTTCTGCGAGTAGGAATCTCCGCGTTAGTCAATTTTGGCGGAAAATTTTCTGCTAAAATTGCGTTTTTGATTGCAGTACATTTTCATTTGCCTTTCATCACAACTTAAGCCATTCACATAGTAGTTTTTCCAAGCGTCTCGGTTTTTCTTCTTTTTTTTCTGGTAAAAACCTCAAATCTATCAATTGTGACTGTTATGTATTGACAACTGGTCCCACGTTGTCGAGTTGACATGCAGACTAATTAGGCCATGACAAACATATTAGATCTTCATAATCAACCTTGTAAAACCACTCCTTAGACCATAAAGTTGATGCTTGTGTGAGGAGGGGGGAAAAGGAAAAAGAGCCTAATTGTTTCGAAAGGTATTGACATTTTATGTTCTTTTTGTATTTGTGAAACTTCACTTTTAAGTGAAAGTTTCCTTTGCTTTTTTTTTTCATTGCGTTTTCGTTTAAAATGCCAGATCTGTAAAAAATAAATTTCGTCTAATTTCGTTTTTGTAGCATCCGTCTAATTTGCTTATCGCCTAATTTCCTAGGCCCCGTATTCTATATCAGTTTTGTTGTACAGTTTTTTGTTGTAGGGTCTCTACTCAAGTGGATATCCTATATACCCGAACATATAATAGTTGACTGTGTGACTTGAGTAGTAAGTTGGAAGATCGTCAATGGCTTTTTTTTTGAATTGAATGTTAGCTCAATCTTTTATTTTGTTTTTTTTTCTGGAAAAAATATAATTACTATACCTTGATACCAGAAAATCGAACATTTAAAACAACAATATCATTTTTTAAGTAAATTTTATCAAGGTTCAGCATGATAATCATGCAAAATTTAACAAGAAGAGCCGGTTGCTGGGCTAGTAACACAGTATCATCCGCAAACTTTTCTGCGTGGCGTGATGAAAAAATTAAATGAAAGCTAAGTTTTAGGCCAATTCGATAAAGTCTTACTGGACAACAAACTTCATCTGTATAAAATTACTAGAAAAACAAAAAAGTCAAACAAAACTTAAAAAATTTGTTTTTGATTTTTTGTCGTTTTTTTACCAAGCTGGTCAACGCCAGTAAAGTTAAAAAGTTAATTTTACTGGAATAAGCTAAGTGTCAGGGATTGCATTAAAGTTTCACGGCTTATCCATCTAATAAAAGCCTGTACGCTTGCTTTTTTCACTCCAAGTTAGTCTAAAAAAACTCAAACTGGTTTTTCTCGACACAGGAAAATGTTTTCACCCGAGAAAAATGTTTTTCTCGACACAGAAAGATGTTTGAATCACGATATAGAAAGCTACAATATGTTGCAGCACTCGGGCAATTGCAATGATTATTTTTGGTACCTAATTTTAAAAAACGGAAAATAAAAAACCTAAATAAACCCGAAGACAAAAATTCCTCCCCATTTACAATGATCGGAACAACAAAATGCCCGAGTGAAAGTTGATTTTTTCTGCTGTTAAGTCAGACTGTTAACTGCATTTTATGCAAACGGATAAAAAAAAACGGATAAAGAAAGGTATTCTCAAACTGAACTGCTCTGCCCATAAATTCACCACACTAACCTGCATATAGGGCACATGTACAAATAATAACACACAGCTACGGGAAATTCTAAATTCATTGTTATATAAAAGCAAGCTATGCAATGGGCTTACAGTGTAGTTGTGTAACATATTTTCCACTAAATCAGATTTGATTGTCAAAATTTATACCCTGAAGCAAAAATCAGCGGTAAAAAGATCACAGGGACAAAAATTAGATTGTTTTTTTTTTTAATTTCTCGCCAGAGAATTTTCCGGTAGCATGTTTCTTGTAGATTTTAGTGTCTCTTCTGTTAGTTGTTTTTCAGCGCAGAAGTTTGAGAAATTGTAAAAACAAAGATATAAATTCGTTTGCTATCATAATAGGTAATTTTTTAAAATATATTTTGGTTGATCATTTATAAAATAACTTATGTAAAACCAATATGTACAAAGAAGTTACCAATATGTAAAAACGAGTTAGAATTAGAAATTTGCATTATGATGCATTTTTATCTGAATGAACTGCGGAGTTCTGAGAAAAAGTTTGGTCCAAGTCTAACATTGCTGTTAAATGATTTTCTGTTAAAAGATCCCAAAAAGAGCGTTTTTGTTGTGGCTGGGAATGCAGAAAAGGTCGATTGATCCAGTAGTAAAGCAGCACTATTTCAATCATTATTAAACAAACTCTTGGAATTGCGGATTTCAGTGACAATACAAAAATCCACTGATAAAACGAGGATTCTTGAAAAAAAAACCGGAGGTTTCTAGATTCCGCATACAAAAATTGGTAACGGCCACCTGTGCTGTTTTATTTGTTGCTGGATTACAAAAACCAGAGCAGCCAAAACTTGAATTCTACTCGTAGCTGATTTTCGCACCATGCGAGCATGGATTCTAATCGATTATAATGGATTTCCCATACAAAATAATTAACTATAATCTGTTACAGTTGTAAAATTCAGACCGCAAAAAGAAGTATCTGGTTATTAAATTGATTGTTTTTGGAAAAAAAATACGTTATATAGCATAATAATTGATTGTAGTGAAAATTTAAATTTAAAAAAATGAACTGGTTTAAAATGAGAATTGAAAATTTGTTTAAAAAAACAAATTTTCAAAATCCAAATTGAAAGCTAATAAATTGTGAAACGTATTACTCGGATTCAAATTTGGGCTTTGGTAATTGATTATAACAAATTGTTATGTTAATTTTTTGACAATTATCTTGATTACAAGGACCACATTTATGTGTTTGAGGATCTTCAATTGATTATGATCGTGATATTTTCCAAGATGTTACAATCTCTTTTAATTCATTATAGACTAGCAACTAGCAAGCCCGCCTCCAATAATCAATTGACTCGCAAAAATTAGTTGTTGTTCTAATCAAGCTATCCAAGGAATGAAACTTTGAACTTCGACTTGCGCCATATCGTAAATCGGTCTGAAAAACTTTAGCTTTCATAGTACGAATCGGTTTGCGAAAAAATGAAGTTTTTCTAAGCAAGCTATGAAAATTTAAAGTTTTTCATGAAGCAAATCGGATGGCGAAACTTTAGGCTTACTATGGAAGCTATTAAAGCAAGAAAAATTCGTGTCATTTCATAGACTGAATCAGTTTGCGAAAAACTTAAGTTGTTCTAAGGAAGCTTTTGCAGCTGGAAACTTTAAAATCATTCAAGTTATTTTACAAATTGAACCAGTTTGTAAGAAGCTTTAAGTTTTCTAAGCAAGCTTCTTAAGCTATGAAACTCTAAAATATTTAAGACTTTGCTTCGCGTAATGTCACGATTGTCTACCTCTTTCACTTCTCTCGCAATCTTCGCCTCGTTATTTCCCCGTAATCTTCTCTTGCCATATGATGCTGATTCTGATATGATGCTGCCATTTGATGCGAATTCATTGGTACCGCTGAGGAAGCAATTCCTTGCCAGTTATTTTCTCAATAAATTCATGTCGACCTCATGGCTCCAATCATTCTATGGGATTGGTGATTCCTCCAAGAACCCTTAACAAAAATTTTCCGATCTCCCATAATAGTTTTTCTTGCCGCGATATGTAAATTGTCTCCATACGCTAGTTTGGACTAGCATTGAAAAAATTGTGAAAAGGTAGGTTTATTTCAAAATGAAATGGTGAAAAACTCAACCCGACTGACAAAATGGGTTTGGATCAATTTGAAACTATTTAAAACCGACTTTAAATTGTAAGTTTCGGGGATGAAAGTTTCGGGATGTCTATCTCACTTCACTACGCCGCAAAAATTTTTCCTTTGGTACATAGTTCAGCGGAACGTACAAGGCTCAATACTACCAACAATCGCGAAAGGGTTAGTTTGAAGGCAAGCTACTTTTAAGTGTACTATGCTGATTGCCTCTTTTCGTAAAGCTCTAGCGACGTGTCCCTTTTCACTCATTTGCAACAATTGCCATGAAGGTAATTGAATTCAACGAAACAAAAATATAGCAGGCTTTCAAATTGTCTAAAAAATTAGTTCATCAATTTTCTTGAACGAGACAGCCCGCGTTACTTCAAATCGTTTTTGACAAATGTTTCTAGCAAATTAATACTCAATCATTTTATAATTTTTTATTTCCAAATATCACTCAATTTATTATCTAACCAACTGAGAACTAACTAGCCACCAGCTATAAATTGTCTTTTTCTCTGAGAACAAATTAATTGACTCAATAGCAATAACTGTTTTACCTCTTGGAGGCTCTCCGGTTCTCTCCAGTTCCTTATCTTGAATTACACTCAGTTTTGATTGAAGTTATTCGATTCCCTAACAGCTCTGGCGTCCATCTAATTCTCTCCTCCGCACAAGTTTTTTTATTATATACCTCCCTCTGTCAACACTGCCAATTGCTAAACTCGCTTTTTTACAATCCCGTCAAGCTTATTAGATACCAGGCAAGTGGCAGCTGTCACAATTCGACCCAGGCAAAAAAAGTCATACGAATAAACCAATCATTTCCTGGCCTCCGTGAAAACTAGCCCTCGAGTGCAACTCAACCGTCAAATGATGCTATAATACTCAGTAAGCCACCCAAGGTCTATATTTTAATTATCCAGTAGTTTTTGTCCTCCCGGGGTAGGGATAAACTTTTTCGTGGATAGCTTATTCGTTTCTAGCATCTAAATTTCCATCCATGCTCTATTCTAATCCCGACCTACAAGCTCTTAGGGGAACGTATTAGGGCTCAAATTTACCAAAACGTCACCTCCAGTAGCACGGTGAATTTTCCGTTCTATTTTTTCACTCAGGACACTTACTTAACTAGCCGCGCCCCTATTACTGCCTCCGCTGGCACTGCTGTTTTTTAGTGTATTTGAATTGCTATTGATAGATTAACTAAGATAGCTCAACCCAGTAATTACTCATTCCACTTTAATGAGTTCCACTACTCCAATACTGTAGACAAAAAACACGATAGTCCTATAAGTGCCAAGGCTTCTACTGCACCTGCTACAGGTACTTTTCATCAACCCTAGTTCCCACTAAATGATCACATTCCATACTCAGTAATTATTTCTGAGGGATAGATCATGTTTTGGTGTTAATTCTAGGGGTTTTTTATGCAATTTGAGGTCATAACACCCAAAGCTCAACCTATTGTCACACAAGGGTCACCAGGAGTCAAATTTCTTTGCATAATTTTAGGGTCTCATGGGGTTTCTTCTCAACAAGTTTTATCCATATCCGATTATTACATCTCGGGTTTTCCCATTTTAAAGGTCCATTGTCACTTTTCCCTGGAATTGGCTAAAAACACCGGAAGATGTTATTGGAGGGTTTGGTTCACCAGGGTTTTTTTCGGCGGTGGGGACCAGTATCTTATGCCCCAAAAAAAGTATACCGCGCACATAATTAGCGTAAATCGCCTATTTTTGGTCTAAGACTCATTTATGTTACAAATGAATTCATTTACAATTTGATTCATTCATGTTACAAATGAATCAAATTATAACACCTGCTGCATCTTGCCATATTATCTTTCCAAGTTTCAGCTTCCTTAGTTCTACGGGGGTCGAGAAAAAAGACTCGGAATTTACGGGGTGGGTTTGTTTAAGAAGGGAATAATCGGAAAAAGGGGTCCAGGGAGCCTGAGGTTCCTTATTTAACCGTCACTTCACTTAGTCTATAACATAATAATTGTTGAGGCCATTCCAGCCGCTAGTTGCCGAGATCTGATAGAGCAATTTCCGGAGATGCTTGTCCGGGTCAAAGCATCTCTAGTACCGCCCCTCTGAGTTTCATCATTAATCCCAGCGGTTCACAATCTGGAGGGGGGTTGGGAGGTGGAGGTATAGCTGATTCTGTTCCAACTTTTTTTTCGGGCAAAAGAGATACTAATTCTTTCAAGCTTCCGTTAATTTGGACATAACCGATTGTTTGCTGCACTTTTCATCGTAATGATTAGTCAAAACCCAACTACGTGCTACTCATTAACTTTACTACACTGCATGCAATTCCCAAGGTTATGCTCTCTCAGCTGAGTTTTTAGTTTGCCAAAACTATGTGAGGATCACCAATCTTACACAACTCGATTAACCATGTACATTTTGTAACCTGGAACGAATTTTGACTTGATTCAAATAGACTCACCCAAGGTTATTTCCGATCACTTTAATTGTCTAAAACATCAAATTAAATTGGTTGAGATAGATTTTGCTAGCTACTTATCTTATATCCGTTCTAAGTTCACCCTCCCCCCCCCCCCAACTCAGATTTGACCCCCTGCGGACCCAAAGCGTCCCCCTTTGTACTATTTCGAGATATCTATTTTTGGCCGTCTGACCACAAAACAAAATTTTTCCAAAGGCACCTTTGGCGCCAATATATTTTAATTTTGAGGGGGGAACGCGCGCCGAAATAACGCAATTTTTTTTATCAAAGTTTTCCAAAATGTGCCTCAAAACGGCTTTTAGGCCTGTTTTTTTTTTCAAAAGTTTACCTGCAGCGCAAAAAATTTGGTCAAAATAATAGAGCTCAGAAAATTAAATTGGTTGACCTAAAAATAAAAAGGTCGACAAAACTTTCGATTTTTTTTTGAAAATCTGCCCCCCTCCCTCGAGAAAATCTTGAATCCTCCCCTGAATTTCAGACCCATTTTTGAAATGAGCACAAATTTTCAATCGATTTAAATTGTTCCAATTTTTTTAAATTCATTTGAAAACTTTTAGATACACAAATCGATCTCATATTGCAAGAATGTTCTCACAGTCATAAGAGCAACCGTTGCTCTAGGCAAGATAACTTGACGAAAACTAATCACCGGTTTCAACTTTTATTAACGTTATTTATTACAAAATTTACATCAACCATAAGTTAACACTTAAAAATAAGGGATATGTTTTGTTTCTTTGTTGTGTATTATGTGAAAATACAGAAGGTAATAGCTTACTTTTTCAAAGCTTTACACGCAATGGGTTTTTTGACGAAAAAGTCTATTTTTTGTGTTTTTCGTGAAGATTATTATAGCGTGTTATAGCATTTAAAAAAAAATTTTTTTTTTCAATTATATTGTGAAAACTGTATTTTAAACGCAGAAATTGACGTTACAGCGAAATATTTCAAATTTGAAAAAGTTTGTGCAATTAGTTTCTATAAGTTTGACTTTTATCAGCGTCGTCAAAACTTAATACCATTTTTGAATAAGTACATTCAAATCTTAGCTTAGCGATGCTGTTAACCACATCTGGCTTAGTAATGCGTAATTCAAAGAGAAAGAGTACATTATTCAACATAGTAAATGTTCTCTTTGTTTCTTTGTTCCTCGAGTAAACATAATAAAACTTGCTTTAAACTAGCTTTGCTCTTCAGAAAATTTTAAACGTTTTAATTGCTTATGCATTGAGAAATTTGATTGGTTTAAATTAAATTACATTAAGATAAAATTATGACTGGAAAACAGCTGGATGTCTTCGAATCTTTCTTGGGCCCGCGGTTCTCTGCCGAGACGGATATTATCACAAGTGTGATGTACGCATTTGCTTCCGAGCCCAAGAGAGGCCTAACTTCTTCGGAGTTCGATAATCTGGTTTGCGAACTGTGCAAATGTTCCTCCCATTTTTACCCCTTGAGTGATCACAGTAAAGAAGTCATCAGGAAACTTGTCTGTAGGCCGGTTTTGATCATGGTAAATAAGTCAAATTTGTAAATCGAGAAAAATTAGTTAAAAGTTGGATCTTCTTAACCATTACCCTAAGATCATAAAATTTAAAAAAATTAAGATCCAAAAGTTCAAAGTTACAAGCTTCAAAATTTTCATCAAACCTGTTTTTTATTATTATTTTACTGAATCATACATTTTGTGGGTATATTTTTCAACCTTAATTTCATTCAAAAAAAATTGCTTAAAGGCTTATATTGAATCAATCATCGCTTGGTACCTAAATAACATTTACGATCTTAGAAGCATGAATCTGAGAGATTACGACGAGACAGTCTTGTTCGTCTTGAGGATATCTCTGGATTTGAAAATCAATTAATATGTCTATGTTTACTTCTATGATTTTCTATTTTTTAATCAAAACTGGTCTGAAATAGTCATCAACAAAAAAAGTCACATGGATTTTGTTGCATTCTGCATAGTGTGGAAACACTGGATCAAACACATTCTGAGTCCAAAAAGCGTGCTACTTGTTCTCAACATGCAAAACGACCTGCTTCATGGGAAAATTCCAGGACTCTCAGGACCCTTGACACATAACATGATCAACAAAACTAATACCGTACTTCACTTAAACTGTTTTGAAATGGTAATTTATGTTATGGAAAACCATCCTCCTCATCATATATCATTTGTGGAAAATCTTAACGTCTACCAGCATTTGATGAGTCCAACTGGGGACGTCTCAGAGTTCGATGACGTCACGGACGATATGGATTATATCGAAGCCATTAATGGACACCAAGAATCTCCAATGGACAGAATTGATACTAATTTCACTGTTTGGGACAAGGTGAGTGTTCTAATGAAGTATTATACACATAAGCTTTAATCAAACTCCATTGAGCTTCAAATTAGCATACATGCATAACGATGCTCTGTAAGAAGCGTATCTCTATAAGCCACAAATCCAAATGTAAAAAGCCAAACGGTAGGGTGACAATTCGTAACAGGTGACAATTTGTAACAGGCGACAATTTGTATCAGGCGGCAATTTGTAACAGGAGACAATTCGTAGCAGGCGACATTCGTAACAGGAGACAATTCGTAACCGGCGACAACTCGTAACAGGCGACAATTCGTAACAGGTGACAATTCGTAACAGGCGACAATTTGTGACAGAAGACAATTCGGAACAGGCGACAATTTGTAACAGGAGACAATTCGTAACAGGCGACAATTCGTAACAAGCGAAAATTTGTAACAGGAGACAATTTTTAACAGGAGACAGTTCGTAACATGCGACAATTTGTAACAGGAGACAATTCGTAACAGTCGACAATTTTTTACAGGAGACAATTCGTAACAGGCGAAAATTTGTAACAGGAGACAATTCGTAACAGGCGACAATTTGTAACAGGAGACAATTCGTAACAAGGCATTGCCAAGTAGAATACGCTTGCTCCGCTGCGCTTACATCTGGCACGAGAGGAATATTGCGCGTGAATCAGTGTTCCCCGCTTAATCTACTGATATGAATTGTCGCCTGTTACGAACTGTCGCGTCACGAAGCCAAAGTTGGGCTCTTGGCAAATACCACAGAAACTCAGGGTCATTTCATGCATAACCGAGTATTAAACAATAAAACGGAACTCACGTAATTTCCGATTTTTGCTTAACGTTCTTAAGTGGAAGCTGGGCGCTACCCTAAGATTTAAAACACAATAATCAGAGATTTATTATGTTGATTAAAAACATTAGGGCTATATCCGTTACGCTTGAAAAGTATATTAAAAACTTTGGTTGTAAACTCATTTCGTGTAAAGTTTGACATAATGGCACTCCGGTAGAGATGATGCTAAGCAATCATATGATTGCGGGTTCAAATCCTACATTCGCTGCAATTTGCAAGGCGAGCTCTGACATATTAGTTATAGCTTAATGCTCACTGGTTACATGCACTCTTGTCAATCTAAGAATTAACCTCAGGGCTAAAGCAAAATGACTAACAAAAGCAAAATGTCACAAAACAAGTTTCTCGAAACCAGATATATTTTTTGCTACTATTAAAACAATATGAGAGAGAGAGAGAGACAACATTTAGATGTATCATTTCGACATTGTAGAGTATTTTTGTGCAGCATGCTTAAGAAAAACTCATATTTTCAATTCTATCACAGAAACGTCTGCTCAGCAAAAATCAATCAATCATAAGTATTTCTGCAAAATTAATTGAAAAATGAATAAGAAACTCAAAAAAAAAAACATTTTATTTCCACTTTTTATTATTTCTAACAATGTGATGAAAGGACATAACGCTAACTTGGAAAAACTGGCAATGGCTCACATAGAAAAAACAGATTCTAGTTAGATTCTAGAAACAGATTCTAGAAAAAACAGATTCTCACACTGAGTTACCGAACTCAGAGTAAACTAAAAAAGTACTAAATCTGACTTTACACACAAAGTTTGTCTATCAATTAAAATTTGAACAAAATTTTTTGACATTTTGTGGCTTTTTTCAATTCCACTAAATCACCGTTGAAAATGTCAAGACTTCATTAGGATGCAGGAACCGACCCATCTAAATTTATCTGTGGTACTTGATTTTAAGTTGAAAAAAAATAGACAAAAAGGCACCCAGCACAAGAATTCTCCCCACTTTCACCGGTCAGAAAGCTTAATATGTTCTTTATACAAGAATTGAAATATTGTTAGTTTAACAATGAAAAAACAGGTATAATGAAAATAGAGCAGAAAGTCGAGGAGTTTCACAGCATTGAGATGCATCAAAAACAGAAAAACTCAATTTTTAAGCAAACACTCAAGCTTAATCCAAACTGTTAAAAACCACAGCAGCTGTAATGAAAGCAATTTGCTTTTTCATTCAAAGAAAATTATGTCAACAGCAACAACACAAGGGTCGGTTTGTAAAATAAACCTCAGAAAATGAGCTTTTTGATCGCAATTTGAAATAACATAAAAACTTTACACTTTGAACAGTTTGCACATACAAAGCACTAATGACTCCTAAAAAACTAATCAGATAAAAAGATTCAAAAAACATTGTAGAAAAAGCAACGGAATTAGTTATTAGAGCTACTTTTACAAAAATTCTCAAGTTATGATTAACGGCACAAACAAGAAAATGGTTCCAAAATTTGCAAGCCGTTCCAAGTACGAACTTTACGTCGGTGATGTGAAGAATCAATAACTTCTTTGTGAATTGATTAAAGTAGTAAAACTTGTGAAAAAAATCGAGCAGCAAAATTTCACTTTAATAGGAAAATCGATCTAAGTTTTAAAAGCTAAGACGCAGATTTTAATACAAACAGTTGACTTTCGATTAAAGGGTACCATTTACCTCATATATTGTGTATAATAATCATCGCACAACCTAAAAAATAAACTTACACAGGGGGGAAGCTGAGCTTCGCAACACTTGCAATGTCAAAAACACATTGCGCTACAAAATAATGAATGGAAAAAAAAGAAGTCAAAAAATATTCTGATTAATTATGTTGGAAAAAACTAATTGAAAAACTAACTTGACAAAAGTTGAAAAATTACGGCTACAAAATTGTCTTATTTGTATCAAAAGAAGGTCACAAGCAGTCCTTATAGAATTGAAATCATTTACCGAGCGGCATCAAACGCAGCAAATTGTGGGTCGAAACCTGTTGAGCCGAAAACAAAACAGTTGTCATAATTTCATTACAATTAAAAGTTTTCATGACCCATACAAACTGAAACACATAATCCCAAAGGGATATATTTTGCCCCCAAAATTACGCAAAATAAGTTGACTAAATGGATACAACTTTAAAGCGAAACTGTTTGAATATTTAAAAAAAAAACGGAAAAGAAATGAAAAAAAAAAACTCAGAATCAGACATGGTAAACTTACAAATTAATGAAGTTTCAGTTATAGTAAAAACTATTTAAATTGGAACAAAACCCATGGTTGGAAAACTTATAAATAAAAACCCTAACAGATTTAATGTTATGGAAAACCATCCTCCTCATCATATATCATTTGTGGAAAATCTTAACGTCTACCAGCATTTGATGAGTCCAACTGGGGACGTCTCAGAGTTCGATGACGTCACGGACGATATGGATTATATCGAAGCCATTAATGGACACCAAGAATCTTCAATGGACAGAATTGATACTAATTTCACTGTTTGGGACAAGGTAAGTGTTCTAATGAAGTATTATACACATAAGCTTTAACCAAACTCCATTGAGCTTCAAATTAGCATACATGCATAACGATACTCTGTAAGAAGCGTATCTCTATAAGCCACAAATCCAAATGTAAAAAGCCAAACGGTAGGGTGACAATTCGTAACAGGCGAAAATTTGTAACAGGCGACAATTTGTATCAGGCGACAATTTGTAACAGGAGACAATTCGTAACAGGCCACAATTCGTAACAGGAGACAATTCGTAACCGGCGACAACTCGTAACAGGCGACAATTTATAACAGGAGACAATGCGTAACTGGCGACAATTTGTAACAGGAGACAATTTGTAACAGGAGACAATTCGTAACAGGCGACAATTCGTAACAGGTGACAATTCGTAACAGGCGACAATTTGTAACAGAAGACAATTCGTAACAGGCGACAGTTTGTAATAGGAGACAATTCGTAACAGGCGACAATTCGTAACAAGCGACAATTTGTAACAGGAGACAATTTTTAACAGGAGACAGTTCGTAACAGGCGACAATTACGAACCAAGTACGAACCAAGTAAGCCGTTCCAAGTACGAACTTTACGTCGGTGATGTGAAGAATCAATAACTTCTTTGTGAATTGATTAAAGTAGGAAAACTTGTGAAAAAAATCGAGCAGCAAAATTTCACTTTAATAGGAAAATCGATCTAAGTTTTAAAAGCTAATACGCAGATTTTAATACAAACAGTTGACTTTCGATTAAGGGGTACCATTTAACTCAAATATTGTGTAAAATAATCATCGCACAACCTAAAAAATAAACTTACACAGAGGGGAAGCTGAGCTTCGCAACACTTGCAATGTCAAAAACACATTGCGCTACAAAATAATGAATGAAAAAAAAGAAGTCAAAAAATATTCTGATTAATTATGTTGGAAAAAACTAATTGAAAAACTAACTTGACAAAAGTTGAAAAATTACGGCTACAAAACCCTCTTATTTGTATCAAATTAAGGTCACAAGCAGTCCTTATGGAATTGAAATCATTTACCGAGCGGCAACAAACGCGGCAAACTGTGGGTCGAAACCTGTTGAGTCGAAAACAAAACAGTTGTCAAAATTTCATTACAACTAAAAGTTTTCATGACCCATATAAACTGAAACACATATTCCCAAAGGGATATACTTTGCCCCCAAAATTACGCAAAATAAGTTGACTAAATCGATACAACCTTAAAGCGAAACTGTTTGAATATTAAAAAGAACGGAAAAGAAATGAAAAAAAAACTCAGACTCAGACATGGTAAACTTACAAATTTATGAAGTTTCAGTTATAGTAAAAACTATTTAAATTGGAACAAAACCCATGGTTTGAAAACTTATAAATAAAAACCCTAACAGATAAAAAATGGCAAACGGAAAACGAACCGACAGAAATCAGTACGAAAACAAGGAATCTGAAAAAAAAATTAATTTTTTATTTCGAAAGGATAATTACAACTTGAAACAGGCTTGAACTAATTACTAGCTAAATCAGAACACTTTTTTTGAACTTTCAAGAATCTCAAGAAGTAAAGATTTTCAAGATGTGATCCTCTAGAAGTGAAGATCCTGCGGACAAAGTTGTTTACGGGAAAAAATTCTAATACCCGACTGCAATACCCTTGCTTATCTCAAGGGCAAATATCAGCCTAACCATTTTATTTAAAAAGATCAAAAATTGATGCGAGAAAACGACAAAAAAGTAGCTCCATAAAGTGAAATAAATGACACCAAATACAAATAGACACAATGTTGCATGTAATAATTTTGAATATAAACAAACTGGGCATGTAATAAACTGGAAATCATAAGGCTCAATTTTTCGTTTCATTTGATGATTGGAAAATGCAGCAACTGTGTTAAATTGATGCGAGAAAACGACAAAAAATTAGCTCCATAAAGTGAAATAAATGACACCAAATTCAAATAGACACAATGTTGCATGTAATAATTTTGAATATAAACAAACTGGGCATGTAATAAACTGGAAATCATAAGGCTCAACTTTTCGTTTCATTTGATGATTGGAAAATGCAGCAGCTGTGTTAAATTATTACTAATCGAATTTCAAAGCACATGCTATTAAAAAGCCGTAAAGGTGCCCCGAAAATGGTACCTATATATTTGCGACCTAGGTTGGAAAAGAGAATGGTGATACTATTACACTACGCTCGCTTAAGCTGGCGAGTGTAAAGATAGTAAAGAAAGTCCTCAGAAAAAGATCAAAAACTTAGCTAACTCTCAATGAGCTCCAAGAGACAAAAAAATATATATTTTAATTGAAAAATGTTTCTCATTTCAATTTAAAAAAAAACACAAAAATTTGATTGATTATTACAAAAATTTCCTCATTCTAATTTAAGAAAAATTTAACGATCTCTTTAGACTTGCAGAATTTTTCTTGATTGGCGAATTGTTCGGAAAATAACCCAGTTTGAGATTATTCGTCAATAGCGGGGCCAAACTGTCTTTGTCAATTGTAGGCTGATTCCGCGACAAGCTTACATGGCTTTGTCGTGGACTCTACAACAAAGCCAACTTTCGCTGATCATTTTCTATGGTGGAATTCTCAAGACAAATGGTTAAAACACTGTATCGCTCCAAAAACAACAAAATTTGCTGAATCAGCGACGAAATTTTAAAGAAAAACAAAAAACCGCACGGCCTATATCCGTGCCTTCCATTCGTTTATTCACACTTAAAAACTCAAAAAGAAACTCTAGAAAAATCGAGAATGGAAAATTTTTTCGTCAGCAAAAAAAATCTGTTTTTTTTTTGTGAAAACTGCAAGCCTGAGATGTAATTCAATCTACCAAACGTAGAAAATGATTATAAACTAAGTTGGGCTCAAACTCAAATTTATTCAAGTCAGTGATATCTAGTCGGTCAGAAAATCGAAAATCTTCGGACCTTTTTTCTATTACACCTGAAAGGATTTTCATATGATACCACAATTGGCCTCCGTGCGAGCTTCCTTTGACGCCTTCGTCATTTTCAGTGACGTGGTCGAAAAATTGAATCAAAAGGCTGCTTTAGCAAAAAGCGACCACCCACTCGGACAAACTACTGGGCAGATAAAACCTAAGTGTAAGACGCGTATCGTTTGAGTCATTTTTTAAATTTTTCTGTCATTTCATTTTTGAAATAAAGAGAACTTCATTTTTGAGATATTTGTGTCAGGTGATTGTGGATACATCAGGAGCGGCAGAGGAGGAGAGTTGTGGGGAGGAGAGCGAGATTCTGCTGTGGCCTATGCATTGTGTGGAGAATACATGGGGTAGTGAACTGAGTCCACAGCTCCATATGGCAGAGAAAACACTCAGGGTCAGAATAGAGAACAAGTCTCCGCCCTAAATTCAATCCATCCCTGCTATCCAATTTTTAGTATCTGGCTCTAGCTGGCGGTCGAAGTACCACAGAAAATTTCGGCCACATCTATATTTACAAGCGAAAATCAGTAAATTGAAATTAAAAAAAAATTGGATAACCATTTTTTGTAAAACAGAATGTTTTAAGCTCTATCACTCAACTCCATCTTGCATGACGTGTCTTGATGATGTCAGATTTCGAGTTGAAAAATCCCAAACCGAAATTGATTGCACAAACAGTATAATTTTAAGCATCATTCCAACGGTACTTTTTGAATGGCCTGAAAACATTTAAAAACTATTTAACATTTAACTAGCTCAGTAAATTAAGTCAAGACTTCAAATAAAACGATGCGTCTGGAAAGTGTAGTCTAAAATTTATGTCGCTCATTTTTTCTCGCAGATCAAATTTTTCCTCTTCGCTCACAATCGGAGGAATCTCTTTTTTCGAGAATCTTGATTGGTTGACGAAATCTTCATGCGGAGAACTCGGCAGTTGTTTTGGAATTCGTGCGTATTTTATTGCGTCTTGTAATTTAAGCCAATTCGAGGGCGTGGAGGTAACAAAGTTCTCTCGACTTTTTTCTCCTAAATAGGACGAAAGCCGAGACGGTGGGGCGCTTTGATGTCGTGGCCTCAGATGACCGACTTTGGCGTGAACAATTGCACTTCGGCCTCCTGTAATGTCCAATTTGAGAAGTCGTGATTCGAGTCTGTTGTCTTGTCTTAACTCTTCCTCGGTATCTGTATTCATAGTTGTTCTTGTGGCCCCGAAGTATCCTTTCGAAGAGTTTGCTTTGAACAACTCATTAATGACGTCACTGCTTTCGAACAAGTCTGAAATCGAACAACATAGAGATTTAATCAAAATTCTAACACATAGGCGAAGCTTCACTTCGCAAACACAAGTATCAAAATAGCTAAAATTAGCCCTAAAATGAACAGAAGGCAACTACGGCAAGAACAGGCAAACTAAATCTTGGAAAAAAAATGGACCAAGTGAACAATCTCCTCCCTAATTCACTTTAGGAAAAAGATTGTTCACTCGGTTAAAAGTAATATTTTTCAGCCAATCAGATTTGAACATAGTAGATGCAGGCCATATGGCTTGAGTTTGCCATATGGCTTTAAGTTCATGGAGGAGATTGTTGACTTAGTCTATTAAAGGGAGGGGGGGGGGGATAGTTCACATGGGCCAATGAAACTTTTGCTATAGACCGGAATCGAGCCACTGACATGGAAAATAACAGTCTCGCGTTTGTCAATGCTACGCAGCAAAATTTCCACTAATTGAGTATTTTTATGTGCGAACTGGCTTAGGAAAAATGTGGATTCGTAACATAACACTACGCTCGCTATTATTTGGCTTGTGTAAATAGTTTCATGTACAAAAAATATTGAATGCTTCAAAAAGATTAAGAAAACAAACACTTATTACAGTACCCTTGCTTATCGCAAGGGTAAAAGAAATAAGTTAAAAATAAAAATAGCTCAAATAAAGTTTCAGGTGAATTCTCCCGATTTTTTACATGGTCGGAGCAATAAATTTGATCTTGATAACAATGTTGGAACTTTGATAAGGACACTTATGTTTTTTAGAATTTAGAATTCAAATTATCCAAGTTCCAACATAGTTATCAAGGTCAAATTTATTGTTCCAAGCATGTGAAAAATTGGGAGGAATTTTGTATTCGGAGTTTTTTTCCCACGCGAAATCAGGTACCACAAATAATCATCGGACTAGGTTAAGTGACATATCACATCAAATTTGAATTTTTGTTCTTATTTCGAGCTAATAAGGAAATTTATGTTTAATTTAAGCCGTGAAAAATAAGTTTTGGGCGAGTAAAATGATACGTTTTGTAGTTTTTTAGTGCCATTTTGGTAATCAAAAAAATTTCTCCAAATAAAATTTGAAATATTTTTGAAATTTTTTCATGCTTTTTTTTTCGTTTTTCTAGTCATTTTTCTACAAAATTTTGCCAATTAGCCTATTTTACTTTGACTGTCGAATATGCAAAAGTTTTTTTAAATCTTTTTATCTCACTACGCTGAAAAAACTAAAATAGTTTGAAAAAAAAACCGGCTATCCTTGTTGTATTAGTAGACGGATTTTTGTATTAGGGTATTAGGCTATCCTTGTTGTATTAGTAGATCCGTGGTCAGGTACGGATCTATGGTTTTCTCGAGGAGGAAGGCCATTTTCCATAAATTTTCAACATTTTTAGGTCTTTGTTTTTAAAGCTTTGGTTTTAAAACTTTTGTAGGTCGACGAAAAGTCTCAGATTACTAAGAGGATTTTTTATTATAGAACATTCAGCGCTGCCGGCATAAAAATAAAAACTGGCCCTATATCCACTATTTGACACGCTTGATAAAAAAATGCCTTCAAAAAATAATCGAGAAAAACCGGATAGCTCATTGAAAACATTTTCTGAAGTTTTGAAGACAAATTTTGAAATGGAAATGCCTAGCAACCCAGGGGCAAAATTAAAGGGGGGGGGGAAGCCCCCTTTCTCGTTTCAGGGAATCGACATCCTCACCAACCAAAGGCCCCATTTTGGTATTATTTTATGAAATCTGTTTTAAGCCGACCAACCCTAAAATATTTCTAAAGGAGCTTTCGGTGCCAATGTATACTAACTTTAAAGGGGAGCGCACGCATGAAAAACGCTCAGAAAATCAATTGGGTTGACCTAAAAAAAGCTCGAGAAAAGGTTTTTGAAAATCCGCCTCCTCGAGAAAATCCTAGATCCACCCTTGCAGCAACCAAATTAACGGCTTAAAAAATCTATATGAAATATTTCGAAGAACGATGATTAATTTCCACTTATTTTCATGCCACTTTTTGCCGAGTTCTTTTAGTCTGCATTGTTTTGAAATGGCTGACCGATTCTTCCGAACTTTGAGTTTGCCGAAGTGCCTTCAGTCAAATTTCGGTGCGCCATATAACAAAAGCTGAATCACGGGAGGATACAAGTTTTCGCGAGGGAAAAACCCTATTTTTAGGCACTTTTAAAGGGTTTTAGCCAAAATATTGCTCCTTTCCCTTAAAAACTAGTTAATACTGGGGTCAAAGGCGTCTTTCGAAAAACTTAAGGCTTGGTCGGCAAAAAACGGAAGTCGGAGGGACCATTTGGTTGTTCAGGATATCAAAGATTGTCAGGGTCAGGGTACCTAAGAAGGATGTCTCCCTATCCACCACGGACGGAGACTTACCTTTCCTCAAGGCTAGCGAGAAAAACAGTAACTACATACCTAGAAATAGGAACTGGTTTTTGTCGTGGTCGCTATCCAGCCGGGTTTGAGCTCTCGTCTCTGGAGTTGTCAGAATTTGTCTGAAATCGACCATCTTGTGCGGCTCGCAAAATTTCCGCACAGTTTTTGTCGCAGTTTTAGCTCTTTGCATCTTTTGTAATCGTGCACTATTTTTTCCAAGTTGGTTCAAAGAATCCAAATCTGATCTAACCACAACTTGACGTTCCTTTTCCAATTCCGGTCTGATTTTTTGACACTTGGGAAGAAGTTGGATAAACTCAAATAATTGCAAGTAGTTTTTTCTGCTAGCTGACCTTAGTTGTCCTCTCAATAATTGGTCTAGTATTTTAGTCGGCAAAATTAATCCTGAAACAATTTTACTTATATTCTAAACCAATTTTTTATAAAGCACTCATCAACTCTTACCCAGGTACTTCAATAGCTTTCGCATCAGAGCCAGATCGTATTTCATTCCCTTAAGCTCAGTCGGTTTCTCGTGGAAGTAAAACAGCAGTCTCGCTGCCTGAAGCATCGAGAACGTTATCTGATGAGTTTCAAGCAATTTCAGAGATTCCAGTACACATTGACACTGGTATTCAACCGGATGCAGATTAGTGGCTTCCGAGAAGTGTTCGTCTAGATAACTGGCGTCTATGAGGTCTCGGACTCCTATGAACTCGATTCCCGAGTCACTGATTCGGGTTTGGATGTAGAAGGGCATGTCTTTTCGTTCCACTGCTCGGTCGAAGGAACAAGAGGGAAGACCGAGAGCTTGACACGTGTAGCGAAGTTCCCGCCATGAGTACTTTTGAAACTGAAACAAATTCGAGCTTATTCTGGAAAAATACTGTCAAAACACGATAGATGTATGTACGAAACTATGATTTTGATATTTTGTGAGCAATCATGAAAAGCTGGGACGCAGGGTTTTGACACCGCTATTTAACTATTTCATGTGTAAAGAATTCGGAAAAACTTTTTGAGTCAATAATGAGGAAAACGCCATTTTTGATTTCGAAGCGTCCCTTAGCTTAAGATAACAATGTAAGAAAGAAAAAACCTGCAAAAAACATTTTCTCAATGAATGATGAATGAACTGGTTAAAAACAGCATACCTGGTAAAATATCGAAGTGAGTCTCTTGATTCAACTGGAAATTAGTTTCATAGATTGAAAATTCATACCTTTGAAATATACTTCGCATCGTAGAATCCAAAATAGTCCACGTCGTAAATAATCTTATCTGAAGCTGTGCTGGACATTTTAATTCACAAAATAATGTGATAAGATATGTATTATATTCAATTGCTGCGTTTAAGCTGACTTCTTGTTGTTTTTTGGTCGATAGTCCAAAAATCTGCCGGTGATTTAATACCTTCAATACTTCAGCAATACCTCGTGCTTCAAACACATCTGCTTAGCTGGTGAAGCAACTTAAATGAAAAACGTGCTTGAGTTTTTGTTCAATTATTAATATCCAATTTTTAATATTAAAATAAAGCTCTCAAATGTTGCGTATAAAAATTTTAATATGTTAGCTTGCATGGGTGAAAAAAAAATTTGGTTTGAAAAATGGATCACAAATGGGAGTGAACTCTCAAATGGCCAAATCAAGCAAGCTAAAGCCTCTGATATAACACACGGCACTCGTCTTAATTAACATTAAGGACCATTTTGACCTTAGAGCTCCTGACCCGTACTTGAGAGGCCAAGCCACCCACCATTTTAACTTTTTCACCACGCAGAATCAAAACTACAAAGTAATCATCAGAATGGGTCGAGTGATACATAATATTGAATTCCTTTCAATAGTATCAATTCGGTTTGAAATTTTTGCTTTTTTGGTCTAACTTTGAGCCAGTAGGTTTTGTAATAGCAAAAGCTGTTCTTTGAGCCTTAAGTCTTAGTTCAACTCCGAGTAAACCAGTTTGCGAAGCTTCAAACAGTGCTTCCTTGGTAATAGAAAGTTTAGTTATATTCAATAAAAATCTGGAAAAAAAATAGAAAAATTCGAATCGTTTTTTCTAATGTTCTAACTTTTAGCTAATTGCACTCAATATACCGAGCACTAAAAACGACAGCTAAAACGAAGTTATTTAATCCGTTTTTTTAAATCAATGAGCAACCTCAGCAACCGGCTGCTCTTACTCTAATTTCTATTAGCTTTGATGCGACTCACCTTGAAGGACACATTATAAGACCAGTATGGAAAACTCCGGCCAAGTTAACATCAAAATATCACCGCCCTCTTAAGGGGGGGGGGGTGTTATCTTGGTCCAAGAAGGATTCTTGAAAACGATGGGAAAAAATTTCAGTATTCAAATGGAGTCTACCCTTTTCTAGGTATACACGGGAACTAATCCAATGGGCGAGAGCTGTTCGCCCTTCTGGGACTGGGAGGGAGTGATTGAGTCCAATTTACTCGAATGTCTGCGACTGGAAGGCGTCACTGATGTGTATGTGTGTGGAGTGCCCACCGATATAGCCATTGTTCCTACAGTGCTCGACTGTATCAACCACGGACTCAGGTAAACTTACTTGAAGCAGCGTTAATTTCAAAAAAAAACACTAAGGCTGAGATTTTGAGCAAAAAACATGTAAAACAAAAAACAATGTACTAAAAAATAATGCAAAAATATGTTCGGTTGCTTCAAAAGCTATCTTGATTCCATAATCTGACGGAACCGACTTAGCGAATGATTTGGCTTTCGAAGTAGTCAACAATTACAAGAAAACCACGGATAATGCGAAGTTTGGTGACATTTGCATAGCCAGAGTTGTTTTGGATTCGATCGACAAACGTTTTTTCGTCAAGTGCCGCGAATAACAGTAACTAAATCTAGCGTTTTTATCTCAACTTGCTTTTTTCTGACGCTGAAATCCGGATTTGTCTTTGCATTCCAAATTTTGTCATTTGATACCAGAAACATGCCATTTAACGCAAAGCGAACAAGCGGTTGGAAAGTGTCAATGACCTCAAGTAAAAAGAAAAAAATAATGCCTTTTTTGAAACTTACGAAATTCGAAAAAAATGATATATGTAAGATTAATTAATTCTTGAAACTAAAAAAGCTTAAACGTAATCACGTTTAAGCTCTTTTAGTTTCAAGAATTAATTAATCTTACATTGTTGATTAATTTTTTATCAACACTTACTTCATAAAACTAGTCCAATTAGAGAAAACGGAATCAATAGGCATTTTTTTACTATGCAATGGATCTCTTTTCAAGATACGTTAAAACTTTCAATATTACTTTTTAGAGCAGTATACATAGTTGAAGCTAGCCTTGGCCTGGACCAAGTTGGTTTCAAGAATTAATTATTCTTCCATTTTTGATTACTTTTTTATCATTATTTATTTCACAAAACTAGCCCAATTAGAGAAAACGGAATCAATGGGTATTTTTTATACTATGAAATGGATCTCTTTTCAAGATAAGTTTAAGCTTTCAATTTTACTTTTTAGAGCAGTATACATAGCAGACGCTAGCCTTGGCCTGGACCAAGTTAGTTTCAAGAATTAATTATTCTTCCATTGTTGATTACTTTTTTATCATTATTTATTTCATAAAACTAGCCCAATTAGAGAAAACTGAATCAATAGGTAATTTTTTGACTATGAAATGCACATCTTCAAGACATGTAGAATTTTCTACTTTTAGAGCAGTATACATAGCAGACGCTAGCCTTGGCCTGGACGAACTTGCGTCAGAGGAGTGTGAAACCTTACTCCGTTCACGTGGAGTAACCGTCGTCAATTCAGACCAAGTCGCTTCAATGTTGAAAGGCGAAGACCGCAGACCAGAGATGCTCATGCACTCAGCAATCAACTTCGCGCAGGCAATGAAGAAACTTAATTTGCAACAGAGTAAAAATAATGCATCTAGTAGCATCTTTACAAACTGACCTAACAATTTTATAATTTTCAGTTAAAATGGGTTGTTATTTTAGCAAACCTTGAGAAGTAACTAACTTTTGGTAGAAACTAAATAGTGGATCAAATACTGATCATTATCCGTGAAACGTGGCGAATGCAAGAAAACCCGGATTTTCAAAACACTGAGACTTTTTGGGAGAAAATAACCCAGAGGCGAGGCGCAGTTTCTCAAAATTTAAGATATGTCAACTATGTGATACGCCAAAGATAAAATTGAAAATAAACTGAGAGACAATGATACATAGAAACTAAGTAAAAAAAAAACAATTTTCACACGCAAGCCCAAAATTACACGCTAAGCAAATAAACGCAAACGCAACTATTTGCATACTATAGGGTTTTCATCCATTTTTGCTCAAAAACCGGTCAACAAAACCCTCAATTTGTCTGCAAAAAATAGACGACAGCTGTTCAACCAAAGAAGGACACTTGATTTTTTTGGAAATCCGCAAAAACTTCAACGGTAATTCTTTCTGAAAGAAAACTGACAGCGGTATCTGAATACTAGGCAGCTAAATTTTAGTAGAACATGAAATAAAAAAAATACAAGAAAAATATTTAAGCTAAGAAATAATTGTCAGCGACTGATATCTTTGAATTTTCCACCAAAAGCAAAAATTGTATCCGGTACAGACAAAACATTGAATGGAGCATGATTTACGATCCAAGCATCGCATACTTTTCTAGCCAAAAACAAACCAAATTGTAAAACGCCTAGAAAATTGAAAGAGATTCGCTTCACTTGCCACTATAGAAGATCAAATTAAAAGGGAATTAAAATATTTTATCACGGAGGCGAAGCGAGAAAAGACAAAAAAGCAGCTCAATAAAGTGAAGTAAAAAGAGGAAGTAGAATTCGAACCAGCGACCTAAGGATTTGGAGTCTCACGTCCTTCCCTATCAGCCACGGACGCTTAATGATTGGCAAAAACTAGCCAGATATGAAGCAGCACACAGATGCTATGAAAATTAAAATGCTAGAGATCTTGATTCTAGCAAAATTACCAGCAAATGAGCACTTTTATTTGCGAGTTATATTGGAAAAAATAGTCATAATAATACACTACGCTCGCCAGTGTAAAAAAGCATGAAAATTGAGATTGAAAGCTAACCTATGAGTTGCTCTCATTGTTGATCGCTAAGCAAAAAGACGAAAAAGCTACTAAAAATGCGCAAAATAACTCGAACTAACACCTCAAATATCAAAGTATCTCCAAAAAATTGAACATCAAAAAAAATTATTCCAGTTAATCAGCAACCAAAAATTTCAGAGGTCAAATTCAAAAAGCTTGACGCCAAATTACAGCAAACTAACCGACAAAATATATGCAGATTTCTTTCAGACTGAAAAAAAAATCGGATAAAAACGAGCTGGAAAAATTAAGCCGAAAGCGAATATTTGCACAAACTACAAGTTACGGAGATAACAAGAGGGAGAATAAGAGAACTTCAATCTAGGACCCTTTTTCAGCTGGAAAGTGATTTCCCGATTATAAAATACTTGTTAATGCAAATTTAAAAAATGATCGGATAACAAAACAAATGGTTTCAATATGATAAATCACTCGATCCCATCTGGCGTTTATTTATGACATCTAATTTTGCTTAGACAAAACAGCACCCAAAAGCAATCTTCATACCCACCTTTCGAACACACGGATGTCAGATTCAAAAGGATGAGCTTTTTCGTTTGAACAGAAAATTTTAAATCTTTTCACAAAGGACTAAATTGTAACGCACCTCCGGTGCTTCGAATTTTTAATTACTCATAAAAACGCATATACTGGAAAAAAAGATCTGTAGATTTTGAGTGTTCTTTGCCAGTAACCAATTACAGGGTTGATAGTTTCAAATTACGTAAAGATTTTTATTATTCAAATTTTTTAAATAAAATCTCGAAAACTAAAAGCAATTTAACAGTCGCATTTGGACGCAAGATTTACAACTCCTGAGAGTTTTTCACACTATCCAACTACAGCGTTGGGAATTTCAAATATTGAGAAACTTCAAACTTAAGTTTTCTTAAAATTTTTTTTGAAAAACCCATAAAATCGTCATATCTCGAAAACTCTAAAGTCATATCTCGAAAAGTACAAGGATTTGAGCAATCATATCTGTAGGCCAAATTCGCAACTTCTGGAAAAATTCTGACAGAACCTCAAGATTGAGATAGAAACTTCAAATTTTGTGAAATTTTCCAGATCTAAGTTCTTCGAACAATTTAAAAAACAACAACATATTGGGATAACAATCGTCACATCTCGGAAACTAAGAACATTTAAGCAAAAATTTTTGACGGAAGATTTGCAACTTGGAACTCATGAGAGCACCTTCACAGTACCCAACAACAAGGTTGGGAATTTCAACTTTTTGACTTTTTTTCGCAACTCCTGAGAGTTCTCTGATAGCCCCTAACTTCAGGGCTGGGAATTTTGAAAAAATATATTTAATTATAGTTAACAAAAAAATTTTTGAAAAAAAAAATCACAAAGAAAGTCATATCTCGAAAACTAAAACAATTTGAGCAGTCAAACTTGCAGGCACGATTCACAATCCTTGAGAGTACTCTGATAGCAACCAACTACAGGGTTGGGAATTTCAAGTTTTGTAAATTATTTGGTAAGTCGCGTTTTCAGGTTTTAGAAAAATCATAAAAATTGTCGTATCTCGTACACTAAAAGGATTTGGGCAGTCATAATTAGAGGCCGAATTCGCAACCCCTTGGGGAATCCTGGCTGCATCCCACTCTTGACTGCTGATTTTAAACTTGGTGAAATAACCACTAAATTCAAACTGGAAAATCAAAAATTCTTAACCATTGCAATATACGATATAGCTTAAACGTGAAAAAAAAAATGCCAAAATAATACGTTGAAAAAGCTTAAACGTGGCGAGATAATGAAGCACACATTTAAATACATAATAGATTATACTACTAGAAGGAAACAAAAATTGAATATTTAACGACGAACACTTTTTACGGAAAATCTGCTTCAGTCTAAAATTTAAAAGGAAACTCGAGCAAAAATAAACAAATGTAAGAAGTTAAAAACCGTTTTGAGTTGCTAAGATAGTTAACTGTGTGAAAATACGATAGAGACTTGAAAAATCACACTATATCGAGTGTGACGTTCCAAAAGTGTGACGGTCACAGCCTCTTCAACCAAAACTTCCGAACCATAAATACATCAACCGCAAGCGATCCACACAAGAAGAAAAAAGGTACAAATGCGAGTATTTTGAGCTCAGGATATCATTATGTTTCAGCTGGTAGAAAAACTACACCAGCCTGTATTATATAAGCTCAGCTTTTACTATAACCTGAGACTTTGGGTACTTTTTTATTTGATCAAATTTCGGCGTAACACTGTTATACCCCCCGAAACAGTTTTTATATCCTATGGAAGATATTGACTCCCTGAGTTCTAATGTAAAAAGATATTTCACCTACAATTATTTGAAAATGCCAAATTTGCCATGTTCTGGATTAAATTATGCGCGCTTCAAAGATGTTATCCATGATACTGAAAACTTAGCACGCTTTAGCTACGTGTGGCAATTTATCTCGCACAAAATCGTTCGAAACTGAATCGACCTAAGCTAATCGGTCAAATGTTCACAGTTGATGTTCGATATTGTTCAAAATTTATGGCTTTATAATATGTTCTTTACCAACAACCTGTCAATACCTATTAAGGGGCAGTCGGAACATACAGGGCTTTACCCTCATGTACGAGAAAGCTTGTTGTAATTTAGCGCTAACTATATTCACACACTATAACAAAACTGAACCCAGAATATGTACACGAAATTTTAAAAAACTCCATTCATATATGAACAGTTTAGCAACAACCCGTTGCGGCCAATCTATCCACAGTTCCACAAACGCTTGAATAATACATACACAGCAGCAATGAAAGCGCTTAGCTTAAACATATGCTTTTAGACAATATAACAGTCAATGGGGACCGATCTTTTACCAGACCGACCTTTTACCAGAAAAGTTATAACATGGACCTTTTACCAGACTCGATAAACAAATTTGATTGACAGATGTTATGACGCCGTTTAGTCTGGTTAAAGACAATAATTTCACGGTTTGTCAACAAAGTTTTGTTTGTTCTAGCCGCTTCCTTTTCAAATCTTCCACTAATTTTAAATTAAACTAATTGAGTTATTGCATTGTGGTCTGGTAAAAGGTCGGTCTGGTAAAAGACCTAGCCCCACAGTCGATAGATTAACAAAAAACATGTATCACCTTTATGCTTCCAAAAATTTTAGACCCATCTTAGCTTTGTTTTTAATAGAATAGTTTCAAATTTTTAGCCTCTATCAATCTGTGCTCGCCTTTAGAATCAGGAAAAAAGTTCTTTACCCGAATTCAAGCTCACTTTAAAAGTTGAAAAAAATGGCGTATTGCTACGCGATGACCACTTATTTCTTTAGTTTAAGTTCACCTTAAGAGCTAGGTTATGGTAACTATTCTCATTTTACGATTGACTAATACAAGGCTTATGTTTTAAGAACTGAGGAACCATTTTTTACGAATTATGAAATCTAAGCTCACCTTGAGAGCTAAGGAATTGTAACGAAATTTACGATGTGATGAGCGATGAAGATTGTGGAGGATACGCTTTAAATGAGAATCCAGCACTTCTGAATACAAGAGAAATTGCACAAAACAAATGAGATAATGATAATTAAAGCGTTTAGAAATTCAAGACTATTTATTGATTGACACTTGCTGGATGAAATCAACCTAATCTGAGAAAACTGGATCAATCGGCAATTTTTATTACCCTCGGAAATCTTAACTTAAAATCCCCTTCTGATACAAAAAATCCTTGCTGTTTTCCACACCATTTAGACTTTCGTTCTTTGACAGCGTTATTTTCTCCTATCGTTTAGCAAAGGAATTTGAAATGAAACGAAGAAAAAACTGAAAAGTCGAACCGCCTAAGTAACGTCAGAACGCCAGTAAATTTTAAGACTTTTCTGAAAAACCGACTACTAAATTTCTGAACATTTGTTCCATTCAGAAACACTCTAAATGGAGAAAAATGAAAAACTGTCAAACCTTAATCCTATCCAATTTTGAAAAAACTATATGGAAAAATAAGTTCTATTTCATTAAGTTAGCTAAATCAATGTTTTTTTTTACATTTCATACTGTTTTCTAATTATTTACAAAGGCCAATTTACATAATGGTAAATTGCACTCCGAATAGCTCCAAAAGTAATTTAAACGAATTCTAATCTACAGTAATTCATCACAGTGCAAAACAGAGTTATTATCGATCCCGAAATCAATCAGTTTCGAAGCCAATTTTTTCCCCGATACTCTATTGGCTGGCACATCACACGTAATGAACTCTGGATTTGAGAAATTGCGTTTCTTCTTCTGCAGCATCGCAACAATTTGCTGGAAGGTAACATTAGAGTCCACTGATAGAATTTCGCGACCAGAGCTTGGAAGCTTTACGCAAATTTTGATCTTTTTAGCATCACCTTTTTCATCATCAGTCTGGTTTGTATTCGAAAATGACTTACTACTTGTTGTTTTCGTAGAACTAATTATATCTGAATTTTTAGCTTGATTAGCAATATTTGGTTTGTGTAGTAAGTCGGCATGGCGTTTGCTCCTTGTAGATGCGCCCGAGAGAACGGGTTCTGCATTAGGAGCCGGTCGCACAACGGGCGCTTTTCCAATTTGGGACTGCGATGACGACTTGATTGATTTACCAGGTCCAGTTATTGGCAACTGTAACAAAAAAGTAACATTCAAAACTATACTGATATAATGGTCTTTATTAACCTTTCATGATATTTCTTTCATTCGCCAGAGAATATCTTCTTGCATTTCGAACAATTTTATTAAATTGTTTCAACTTCTACTGACCTGTCATTGATAAGCAGTACTCAGTTCAATAGAATGCCACAAGGTATGATGCCACATGATTTAATCTAAAGATAATAATAATAATCTCTCACCTTGGCCTTGACAGTGGGCGTCTTCCTATTTGACCTAATTATATCGGAGACAGCCGCCGATCCCGAACTGGAGGACGGTCCCGACAATGAATGCACATTAGCACCTGTAAAAGTGCTATCAACATTGCCCGACGTATTCGTCGGTTTTATGGGAGGCAACGCACTAAATGGGGACAAACGTCCTCCTCTTAGTCCCGCCTGTGATGGTTGTTGCGAGGCTTTGTTCGAATCAGCATGGGAATATGACGCTCCTCTAACAACGCCTTTGGAACGTGCGTTGTTCATGTTAGAGCCTTGCGGTTTGAGCGCAGATTCAGTCACATCGATGATTTCAAACTCCTATTAATATGCAGACCATATGCATCTGAAATTCAGGTTGTGGTTAGAACAGACCGAAGAAATTTATTTTTTTTTCAAGTCGTATAAAATGAAGACTACATTTTCTTGTGCAGTGACTTTGCGAAAAAATTTTTAAACTGAGAAGAAAGCGAAAAAATATCACAGAACAGCTGCTGCACACAATAGGACCAACTTAATTTTTTCTTCATGCTTCAAAAAATTGGTTTTTCAAATGCGGAAAACCTTGTAATACATGAAAATTAGTTTGAAAATGTTTGAATTCTGAAAGTCATTTCTCGATCGAAAAAGATTTTTTTAATGGCTAGAGCACAGCTGTATTTCGTGGATGGAACACGTAAGAAACAGAAAGCTAGGAGCCCATCTACAGCTGCAGTTGCCCTGACGATACATTTTAGAATATGTAGTACTGCGGCGGGATGAAATGCGGAACTTTCAACATTTGGACTTTACTTAAACCTTAGCCGTTTCTCCTTTGAAATAAGGGATTAACCACTTATATAGGTGAGATTAATATTATCCGTTCTTTAATTGAACTCAATGTAATATTTGACAGGATATTTTTCAAGAAAGCTGGAAAAAAGTTCAAAAATTGATAAAAAGTTTCCGAGGCCATGCCTGTTTTTCTACAAAAAATAGGGTGTAACCTTTAATGCAGAGAAGGCCTTTGCACCATGTTCTTTCAATTGAACGATTACTCTCAGAACAGAGGGGGCAGTTTTGAGGAAAGAAAAAGCTCCGAGAAGCGATCGAAGTTCAAAACAGCTTTGAAATTGATAAGGCGTTCGAGAACTACATGAGTCTAAAGCCGTAAAAACGAAAAGAAATTGGTCAACATTACACTTTCGATACCAAATTAATGCTAAGATAAGACATAGATGCCCACTCAATAACTATTTTTCATGGCCGCTTTCAAAATATTAAACATCTCATCAAAAAATCTTTTCTAAATCAAAAATATTGAAAAAATTACAGAAAAATAGTGGACCTACACTATCTGCACCTTGAAGAATATTAAAACTGTTATGCTGGAGATGTAAAAAAGCTGAAAGTTTTTTTTAAAGCCAGCTGTGAAAACTGAGACCTGCAAAACTAGCCAACAGATCATCCGACAAGTGCCAATGTACTTTAGGAATCCGAAAAAACAAACTGGTTGTCTTTTTTCGAAAATGTTGCTTCATGTTAAAGCTCTGGTAATTTCGTGAGCTATTTCTGATTGAAAACTTCTTAAAACAACGAACCCAACCAAAGAAAACTGGATAGTTATTCTAATCCGCTAAAAAATCTCAAAACCAAAATCAAATTTCGAACCTATTAGTCATTCACGTTTTTTGCATATTTGCACTTTCGCAAGTGGAGAGGGTAAATTGCCTTCCTTTTAGCTAATGAAATTGAATCGAACTTCGAAAGGAAACAAAATAAGCTCGCGAAAGATGCTGAAAAGGAAGCGATAGTCATTCATAGTCATTTAAAAATGAGCAGACAAAAACCAATTTGATAACCTAACAAAAACTCTATCATCAGATTAAATAACACTCGCTGATCGCAAGCATAACAAAGTACCGATGCTGTAATTCGCAAACAAGCGGAAAATTGCCAAGAAGTAGCTTTAAAAAGGTTAGAAACAGGAAAGGGCAAACTCAGTTTTTGGAAATCCAAACTTCCAAGCCAACTGCCTAACTCAACTGTGCCACTAGCACTTTAAGAAACGATACACTAGCCAGTACTGCGCAAGAAAAGGGCCCCTAAAATAAGCACTTTCATTTGCGAGAGTTTAGTTGGAAAAAAAAGTGAACTTCGTAACATAAAACAATGTTCGCAAGCTCGTTTATGCAACAAGCATGTAGCCCATGAAACCATCCTACGAAATGAAAACATTTGCTCTCGTGAAAACCAATGTCATTTCAGACACTTGCTTCTACAAGTAACTTCATCTCGGAAAATTATAAACAACCGATGTTATAACTAAGGTTTCGGATATCTACCGTCAAATGGCGTTAGAGAGGAAAATGGCAGATATTCAAACTTATTATCCATTTAAAAAACTATTTTGCATTTTCATCAATATCTGAAGAAACGAACTAATATTAGTCTTAAGTGTCAGAAAAGGCATTTTTCTCCATGTTTTTACAACAAAAATTTGATGCATATGTTCATGAATACATGAATTTGCTCCTAAAATCAAAGCTACTCAAATGCAGAAATTATATTTGACAGGTATTTGATAAATAATACAATTTGAGAAAATATTGCTCAAGTGATGACATGTACAATTTAATTGCCTTGAAGATACACAAATAGACCAAGTTTAGTGTTAAGGACAAAACATAAACCAAACAAGACTTATCTCGGCCACGTTTTGACAGCCATGGTTTGCGTTACCTGTAATGTATCAATAGCACCAGTCAATGGAATAAAGCATTCATTCACATTTCATATCAAGGTTACACGGGGGTGAATGTCATTTTAATCTAGACTACACTACATTGTGAACCCCTTATATTCGAGGGAGTCTTGCAACTATGACAAAATTCAAAATTTATCAACATGATTGCAAAAATAACAAAAAGAGAAACTAAAATGAAACCATTACAGAATAGAGGAGGTGCAAAGTCGCAACCAACAAACACTATCTAGAATATTGAACGATGAATAATTTCATTGGCCGAAAAATGAACAAGTTCTTTTATGGCGTTGAAAAAACCTCCAGCTACCAAATAAAATTAAGAAACCTAACACATTGCTCTTTTATAGTAAAAACTATGGCAACATCTGCGCAAACTCTTCCGAGGCGAGGAACTGTTCCCTTGTAGAATCCAATTAAACCTGTCTGTTTGTATACTACTTTAACACAGTCCCACACGCCTTTATACTTATGCGCATCGACACCCTGCATTCTAGTTTTGACGACGTCCAGTGGTGTATTGGCGAACACACTGGAAGCGCCAGCTATACCGCCAAATACAAAGGTCAAATAAGACGGAATATTTTTCGAATCGTTGCCGCCTTTATAATAGTTGTTCAGTAAATACATGACATAAAAGCGCACTGCTTGATTTGTCGACTGCTTCAGAACCGTGGGTATAACTCCCTTGTAAATTCCCCTCATTCCTTCTTGCTGCACTATAGTTCTCACTGCATGAAAAGTTCCTTTATATTTAGAATTCGTCTGGTTTCTGTCGTGAATCATTTTGACCTTGATAGTTTCTTGAGGTATAACTACAGTAACTGCTTCCATAGCTCCGGCAAATAATCCACATCCCAATGCTTGCATTTTGGACACTTTTCCGGTTCCTCCAGAGACATATTTTGAAGCTAAATCATATCCACCAAATCTAACAGCCGATTTTGGCACCGAGAACAAAATCATTGAGCCCAAGCCGCGGTAAAGACCTCTCACTCCATGTTCGCGTACCGTTTTCTTAACACAGTCCACAATTCCGTTGTATTGTGTTTTTCCTGAACCTTTATCTAATTGCAGCTGCGTTTTAACGTACTCTGTGGGCATCGTAATGCATATTTCAATGCCGCCAGCCAAACCGCCGGACAATATTGACTTGGCATAAAATTCTGAATTCGTTTTGTATTTGATTTTAACTCCTTGAGCAGACCCTTTAGCAGCAGCAGCTGCCACTATTCTTTGCGAACTGCCAGAACTTGATTTGGAGCTCTGCCTATTACGTAGAAAGTCATCCATTTATCTGAAACACTCATGTGTTTTAAACTTTTCCAGTTCCTCCGGAGACATATTTTGAAGCTATATCTTGCCATGTACGAGATAATAAAAACAAGTTCAATTTAAGACAGATATTTGAAAGCGAGTAAGAGAAAGCGAGAAAGAGAGTTGATGGATGATTATAGAAGCGATTGGTAATCCAGCTTGGTTTTCGTTTTTTTTTAACTTTCAACTATCATAACCAAGCTATGAAGCTTGTTTTGATGTTTTTTTTAAATTATTTTCACAGCAACTGTCTTCTCCTGTTAAAGTTAGACACTAAATTATTCTTTCTGGAGTCAGCCTTATGTTTTTAGCTTGAACTTCAACCTTTCGGTGAAACGAGACTAATGCTAATGCACAATTAAAGGTTGTGGCGTCAAATAAATCGCATTAGGCCAATGAATTTGTGTGCTATCAGTTGTTAATCAGCTCTTTTTTCCTCGTCTATGGGTTGATAATAGTTAATTTTCGTCTCGACTTAGATTAGTAGTTTGATGCTAGAGCAAAAAAGGTAGAAGCCTTTTCTTTGTTCTAGCCGTGCAGTAAAATGTCACATAAGTAATTCAAACATGATTGAATATCAAATATCAGATAAAATGCATCTGCCTTACTATCTCAATTGCAACATTCGCCCGGAAGATACATATCGACGGATAACAAAACTAAGTCTTAAGACGACTGGCTAGCGTCTAAACAGAGCTTTGCATGTTTTTCACCGTCTCTACCAAGCCAGTACTTTTCGGTGGTCTTTTCCAACATCGGGTCGACAAAAACGTTACTGCTCTCCGGCTTCGACCAGAACGCTCAAATTAACTGAATTACATGCAAAAATAGTGAGCTCATGGCTGGGTCTCAGTATCCCCAGACCACGAGGTCACTCCTAAAAACAGGGCTACTACTTATTATATTACTATTGTTTTTGTTCAGTAGATAAAAACCATCATCTCCATCGAAGATGGATCAACCCTTTCCCCCCAACTCTTAGCACCTCATCCTTGTCAAAACTAATCCAAATATCAATTAAATTCAAGTCAGGACATGACAGGATGCTAAAAGTTCACACGAGTCAATAAAAGTTTTCCGTCCCGAGACCCTTCCGAATTCTTGAATCCGGTGAATCAAGCTCCTTAAGTTCGATTTCACGATAACACGGAAGGCTGGTTTCCACCCTTCACCGTTGCTCGCAACGGCCTTGCAACTATTGTAGCAGCACAATAGTTGCAACTCGGAACGTTCTCTGTAATTCGTTGTCGTCTTCTTCAATTTCGATTTCCTCAATTTCGATAAAGTTGTTCTCGTCAGCGCAACTAATGTTGTTGTGTTTTTTCTCTCGTTTCTTGTTAAAATGGCCGTTTCAGCATTTCTCAGAAATGTGACGTCATCATTCGAATTTTAGAAATTTTAAAATACTAGAATATTCCAGCCCTCACCGTTTGGCTAAACGTTCCAATAACGCCCTTAGTTCTTAAAAACCACCAATACGGAAGGCTTACTGCTAAAATTCCGAATTCTGCAGAGATTAAATTTTTCACATTCTGGTCGAATGTCACATACTCCCCGGACAGTCCGGTCAATGTCCTCATTGAATCGCGCAATGTTCTAAATGGTTACAGTGTCATCGAACAGAATTTGCAAAATGCACGAAATTATTTTTATCTACGTCACATCGACTCACTGCAGAATATAAATGGCATCATACTACATCACTATAGCCTTCAATTTCTCTCATTAACCTGCACTTTGAGGATACAACCTAAGGTAAAACCTATTTTCTGACTTCCAGTGTCAATGTTCCGATTAAAACTTTTTCTCCTAGATTTAAAAGGTGTTGGCTTGCAGGACAGTCCTGCCAACCAACAAGCTAAAATCACCCTACTATGCTTCTTCCCTTCGGAAATCTTGTTTGTTATTGTCCTGAATATTAAAACTAAGAAACTTTGTGGTTAGAAAGAACAATGAAACAATCTCCCTCTTCGAGAGATTACTCAAGTTTTTCATGTCACCACAAAGTGATCAGTCTTCCTAAGTGATTAAAAACAATCATGCAGGCTGGAATATTTAAATATACTCTTCCTTCAAGCCTTTCTAAATAAATAATAAGTGAGTGTCTCTAAAGCCACTTCAACTAAAACCAAAATGCAAATTTATAAATGCAACAATTTCAAAACTCAACTAAATGTTTCAGTTTTCAATTACAACTTGGTTGCTTGGTTTCTCAAGATGTTGTTCCATCTCATGACTCCCTCGTTGTGCCTTCTTCCTGATGCTGTTAGGCTTCCTGCGTTCATTGGCACCGTGCAAACGGTCAGTACCGCGCAACTGAACTTCTGCCAGAGAGTAGTGAACAAACACACCATCATTGACTCCCACAGTGCTTCCTGCTCGTCTGATCCTCTAGAGATATCATTCGTCCCGACTAAGATCATCACACTGGGAATCTTCCCTGGATTCATCAGTTCCACCATCCGATATAATTGGGCAATCGTCGCGCCTCCAAAGGCCATCACCGTGGTGACCCATGAGGTCCTCAAATTCGACAGCACTCTGACTAAGCTGTCTCCCAATATCAGGTGAGATGTCCCGAGTGGTGGTTGCTGCAGGTTCACAGCCGGGCTCCAGGTAGCTCGATTGAAGCAGGCTCTCGGATCTGTCTCCGGAACTCCCGTGAAATTATACTTCAATTGATTATTCTTCTGCACGTCTATTATACGAGACACTTTCTTCGCTGGCATCTTCCGTACTTTCCTCTCTGGGATTCTCGAGCTCCCCATGAGTGGTGTCACGTTACTCATCCCTTGTCTGATTACTGTCTGGGAGAGTTGTACTCTGCCCGTATCGTCAATCGTTCCATAGGGTGCAGTCACCCCGGAACCTGGTGCATTCTTGTTAGCGACCAATCGTCCAGCTGTCTCTATCAGTTTTCTCACTGTCTGTTCCACGACGGGATCACCCAAGGTGTCACTAGGATCCGGGATTGTTACTCGGTTCGTCTCTGCTGGAAGCCGTGTCTCCGTTGTTTGACTCATTTCTCGAGGTGTCAAGAGCTTCATCGGGGACTGCCCACGAGGAATATCCCTTGCAGGTATCACTTTCTCAATGGCCGTTGTCAACGCCGCCTGTTCCGATCGCTCTTTGTATTCCTGCCTTAAGCGTTCGATCTCTTGATACTGCTTTTTGTTGCAGTCTTCAAACAACTTTCTCCACATGTCCCGGTCTTCCTCCATCTGGAGCATGCTTCTGGTCATCTGGTCCAGCTCCTTCTTCGTACTTCTCAGCTGATCGTTCATCTCGTCCAGATCTTGTATGGTTTGGTTCGTCTGAACCTTCTGTGTTACTTTCGCCCTTTTTGGTGGCACAGCTGCTCTCAGTTGTGAACCAGACGAGGTCGCCTCGCTGTTCATCTCCCGATGCATTCTCGTCAGCCCAGCTTTAGGCTTAGAGGGCATTGGCATCTCACCTGGTTGGTAAGTCCTAGAACTTCCCAATCCAGGTTCATTCGCCAAGTCACTCCCTGAGAGAGCCCCGTTTCTCCACCTCATCACTCTCATGTTCGGGCGGTCTAGTACTCCTCTTTCTCCATATGCTGCCATCAACAGGACTTCCGTGGGGCGGTCCCCACGGTTGTCGTGCCCCAAGATGTTGATCAGGGCGGTCAGCAACATGACCACCTCTGGGTCCTCCAGAGCGAAGTCTCGTTCGATCAGCCGACGATAGATCGCATCTACCATCGGTCCTACATATGCCTCTGCCAGGTCCATCAATTCATCCAGGTTGAAGTTGTCCATTCTATTCTTTTCAAGTTTGATTTGATTCGATTCTTTGACTCAAGTGAGTAATTTAAATGATCAATCAGGATCTAGAAAAGCAATCACGAATGTCACACTTGTCAGTTTCACCTTAACATATATCGTTAAAATTTGCTTAAAACAGTTCAGATAAAAAGATATTTATCCTAAAATTTATTAAAATCAATTGGTTTCTAAAATTTTGGAATTCGACCTAAGATTGGACAGTCCAAACTTTGGATCTATTTCCAAGATCGTCATCTAGTTGTTCATGGTCACTAACCCCTACTTACCCATGATCTTAATAACCTAACACATAACATAACATAACACACATATCACATGCAACTTAGGCTTTGACCTAACACTCTTTCGCACATCACTCAGCCTATACTTAAGTAATATTTCTTGTGTAGATATACTTGTATGTTTGTATCAGAGAATATCACGTGTACAAGCGCGTACAATTCCCGAGGATGCAGTCTTCCTCTGTTTGGATCGTACACTGGAAGCGAGAGCTCCTTCACGTCCATTTCCACAAGGAAGTCCCTCAGCCTCGTCAAAGACAAGACTAGGTTTTCTGGGTCCATGTGCTGCTTCTTCGTCGCCCTCGTTACCAAGAAGCACAAGTACTTTCCCGGTATCTGCGACACCGCCGGAGGTAAGGCTGCTACGCCCCCTATCCCTGGTCTTTGCTTCCAAAGGAATTCCACGTTTTTGTATTCTCTTTTAAAGTCTGCCGCTAACGCTGTCCTAAAACTCATGTCTGCGGTGATTGTTATCGCACATGTTCTGTTTGTGAGTATGAAATCACTGTCTGTTAGTATTATGTTACTAGAATATTCATTCGGTAAATTAAAATATGACTCAACTACCCTGCCTATACCAGGTTTCTTAGGTTCTTCGCCTGTTTCTGCTTCTAACTCTCCTGTTTCTCTTGCTATTCTTAATTTTTTTATTATCAAGTTTTCAGTGTGGGTAAGTCCTACCCCCACTCCCCGGACAAAAATATCCATCGGCGTCCCCGTCGATCGCATACCGGGTATTAAGTCAAGGTTAGAAGCTGGAATGAGAAGTTGTCCTTCCTGGGCAGCCCAGGAAGGATCATCTCGTTCGGTCTTAATGTATTTCGCGCTTTCACGATCTACGTATTGAATCGTAACGCTGGTCTCTTTAGGGTCTGATGTCATTTCA